GAAATTAATCTTTAGGCCTGTTTCAAACGTCGAACTTTATATGCATGCATCGAACGCATCGGCTCTTGTAAAGTTCAACGCTTGAACTAGGTCAAACATAGATCAGAAATAAAGATATACATTAAACAGTGATTGATAAAGCAGTTTTTTATCTTCTAATCAAATTTTGTCATACTCAATAATCTTTTCTATCACTTGTAACCTAAAATAAATTCTTACTGTGATGATTTTGAGAACGTTTTGCAGGAAAAATAACTTACTTGTAGTGACGTACATAATTTGCGTACAATATTTATCTAAATTTATGTATTAGCATTAGTTAATCCTACTTTTACTCAAACGTGCTACTTAAACTTACGTACTTGACTTTATAAACGTAATTAACGTAAATATAATTAAATTTCAAGTACTTGCAATAACTCAACCTAGTTAAAGAAACTGAGGATACCTAAATATCTAGCTAAGGACTCAAGCTCGGACTCGTGCTCAGATTCGAACTGGGATTCGAGCTCGGACTCAAACAAAATTAACTTGTATATAAGCGCACTGCGATCGAAAGTTTACAACATAGAAAATTGCCCTGGGTAAAAAAGTCAAAACGAGAATCAATGAATCTGACTTTGTCAAACCATCGTCATAGCACAATCTTACAAAAATTTCAAAAATATGAACTACAAAATAGTAAGTACGGCCCAGACGTACACAAGTACTATGACGCGGCAAGACATGCACAAAAATTATGGCGTTAGATTTCTGCGAATTATTATTCCTTCAAAGGTTTTTTGCTGTTAAGTATTAACTGCGGGGTGGCAAATCTGAATAAAGTATTCCGATAATTGGTTTTTGCGAAATTTGTGCGAGGTGCCATGTATCCGTCAATATTAATTTTAAAAATTAATGTAGCGATTTCAATTCAACATTTTTGTATCGTCCAACGTCTAGTTTTACTTGAAATTGGAATGATGAATTTATAAACAGTGTTGAAGTTGACCTGCTCAATAATAAAATGAACATGAATTTACAATGCTCATTACTGTTTTTTACATCAATAACAAAAACATGTTGAAAATATAAGAACATGAATATGGACGGTAATCTGACGCCATACATTTCCTCTGCATGGGGGAAAAACTGTTGTGTTGAATTTGGTCTTTTATGCTTTCTGAGAAAAGTAGATCGATTGTAAATTATGCATCTTTAATAAATATCTTGCATTTAAAGAAAAAAAATTCTCATGTATTGTTTTATTTAAAAAGCTATCGGCAGTTCTTTGCATCATGCGTAGCTAAGTAATATGATCAATTTTTCTAGGCATAAGAACAAAGGGCCAGTCTTGCTTACCTCACTTTCCGTCCTTAAGTTATAGAGTAAAGAGTAAACGAGAAGAATTTCGGGATCAACTTATTCCTAAATATATCAAAAAAGAAATTTGTCACAGGTATAGATAAAAAATATTTTTCATTATAGCTATAATATACGTGTGCAGCAGCAAATATTTTAATGGATAATAAAGATTGAGATATGATCCAATTGGTGTATTGTACGTAGCTGATAAACAAAATGGAAAGCTTGATCTCAGGAACACATTTATATTCACGTTATATGTTGGTAATTTATCATTAAAACACAGTACACAGTATACAACACCTATTGCAAAGGTATTGGCTATATATTTGCTCCGTACGACTAAATTTTTTTTATGATGTTAATTTTGCCCTTATAACTCACGCATTGTGTATATTTTTAATAAAATTTTTAAAGAGGTTTAACTGTTTCATTACATTTTAACGCATTTAAACATGTTAACATTTGACTTTGGTCACTAAAACATCAAGCATCCAAAAATATACATTGAAGTTCTCGGTCGCACCGACATGCATTTATAAATATTTGCTACAGCGGTGACTATTGTGCAGCTTCTGATTTTCTGCATGGTATAGCTACTTGTTTCAAGGCGATTGTACTGATGTAACCCATGGTTTGAATCACTAATGTTTCATTGAGCAATATATTCTATCTTCTATAAAGGGAATTGAAAATCCTAGAAAATAAAGTTTTGGAGTATTGCTCCATGAAGTTGATTAAGAATTAGGATTTACAACATGTAGTGTTTTTGTTTTTAATTGTGAATTTTTTCATCAATTTCAATAGGCATCTGCAAGTCTTTGACATTAAAGGCTTAAAACGATTTGTAATTACATTTGTGTACAAGCAACAAAATGACAGGAATTCAGTTTTCACTATTCCTGAAAATCATTAATCAATTTTTCACAAATGTCAAAACTACTAACTTCTAAAAACAGTGCTTACCATTTTATTATTTTCAAATACTTCAAAGTCGATTTTGTGATATCCTTGTTGAGCAAAACCAAGGACTTTAATAGCTGCTGATTTCCGATACTCGTACGCCTTAAAAAAATTTTCATATAAAACATTGAAAATTATCGCAGTGACTTTTTTAATAATACGGATTGTTGCCATTGCTAATGTGAGAGAAGTGCAATAACTTCCCATATGCCTAAATTGTAGTTAAGTTAAACTTGAGTGCTAACATCTTACAAAATAACAATACGTAACATTAACGTAAATATTAAAACAAATTCTCACTTATGTGCATTAAAAATAACTCACAGACAGGACAATTCATTGTTATTTTTTAGAAGAACAGGAAGATAAATCTAATGGCACTTGTAGTAAATTTTTTCATGCTTCTTGTGTTAGCAAGACAAAGCTTGGCACAGATAAGTCAATGTAAGTACGTTTATTTGTAGCTACATGGAAAATTTATTCTTATCTTTTTTTAGAGAAATCCAGTTTGGGAGGAACAAAGAACTGGCGATTGTTTATTTTGTAAACACAAGCAATATATCACTTTGTCAAACTTTCATTTATTTTAAAATGTAGAAACATCTTCATGCTAATTGAAAGCTCGGTCATTCCAGAAGAAACAAAACTTGTAGTGAAATCACTATATTGTTGCATCAAAAGCGGCTAGGGAGGCAGCGAGCGAAAACTTTGTAATATGCTTTAATGCTGTAAAATTAACTATTGTCAAATGCTACATTCAAAAGTAAATATCTTTCAGAAAACAATCTTTTTTGTTTTTTTGTTTATTTGAAGATTGACAGAAGGCGTGCCGACATTTGTTACGTAGACTAGAGTTAGTTGACTACAATACAACACAGTTAGCAATTAACTTATTCAAAAATAGATAAAAAACGTATATATACAAAAAAAATATTTGTCTAAAGATTAAAGAAGATTGAACTGCTGTTTGAACAACAAAAAGACTATCAGATTAGTATCAAGCTGCAGAAATAAATGTAGGCTGCTAATAAATAAATATAGACAAGTAAAATTGTACAATTCATAATCGGCCAAACTAACTGCGATGAACAATTTTACAAAAATTTGCACAAGCCGCCTTACTTACCATGAATTGCAATTGTCCAGTGCAATTTTACATACTAAAAACATAAGACCTGATGTTTTATACGATGATACGTTTTATTTGTTATGAATCTTTGTTCAGATTCTAATGACCTGCACTCATAATAAAGTCGAGTTACATGGTCTAAATTATTCTAATTCTGCGTTGTTGGTTTTTAATCTCTAAACATTGCTCCGGGGATGTGTTGCTCTTGCAATTTCGATAGGCACACCAACAACTTCATATCATCTTTAATTTCTTTCGTTTTTTCTTCAAGCTTGATTGACAAATTAGTTATCTCACAATGTAGCAGCCATATTACTAATGCAATAATCATGTAGACACCATTAGAGGATACTCGGCATATTATTGTGTAAAAATAGGCTTGCATGAGCGTTTGAAACGTCATTTACCTTTAATTCAAAATTTTATGAAATTCTTACGCAATTATTTATAAGGATCCAAAAGTTATGACAAATGTTCTTTCTTACCCATTTTTTAATAAAAATTATATTTTCACAGGTGCCCGTGCAATGAATACAGACGGCAACGAAATCACCCAGTATGGAGTTACCAAGGGATCTGCAAAGTTAAGTGCTATCTCAGCATGCTTTTGGATGTCCACCCCTGCTAAATACGCAAGCCAATATTATCCTACACCCTTGTCTTACAAAGTGAGTTACACACCATGGGGAAATACTTTTATGCTGGATATGCATCCAGATCTTACTTTGTATATAGGAAAAATTAATTACAGGTAAGTTTTTGTCAATCGATTTTACTTCCAAATCCTTGTTTACGTAAATTTCATAGCTATTAAAAATGAAAATATCATTGCTGACCATTCAACACATTGATTTGTATTGAAGTACTTTTGGTTTAAATGCCTCTTCAATTTAAAATTTACTGGCCACTTGTCGTTATGAACCTTGCAACGATACCGGCAGACTGGTTTGAAAACGACTCAAAACTCTAACAGTTTGGGATAGTTTTCACATGACGCCGGTATGAAAAAGTATAAAACCGTAACGCTAACCGTTATGGCTCGAAAACAGCATGGCTATCCGTGAAAATTTGAACAGCGGTGCAAAACTATGCCGTTCTGGCTGCCAGTGTGTTGAATCGGCTTGCACAATGTTTCCTGTATTTACGGTCATTTTTCGTTTCCTTAAGCAAAGACTTCAACTAGCAAAAAAATGCTGGGGCCATTATATAAAAACTTGAGTTATAAAGTATCGTTTAGAACATCACATGACATACTGACATTGCTTGAATTGCTTGAAGATTCGTCCGCACTTTTTGCAATATCTATTTTGTGACATTCAGGGCCCTAGAGCATCATGAGCACTAATTCAGACTTCCAGTTTGCAGAACTTATAACCTTTTTACTTTTACAAAGCCTGTTTGTCAAACGAGTTTATAATATAAAAACATTAAAACGCGTGCACTGATTGGTCTATAGCCGTGTTTGCATTGGCTGGTGTAGAACACATCTCAGCTCAACCAGTGAAATCAATCATAACAATCATTCATTCAAAGGGAATTTGCAAATCGATCATGAATATATTCTAAATGAAAAATTTAAATGTTTATTTTAAATTTGTATGTTTTGCATTAGTGTTATCTTAAAAAAGAAGTAAAAGATATTTTTTGTGTTTGCACTATTTCATGCAAAACTTCGAAGACATTTGTGAGAAGTCTCAAGCAGGTGCAAACCTCAACCTTGGGTCTCGTTTATTTATGTGCTTTTCTAGCTATGAATAATTTGGTGAGTATTAATTTCATATTCCATTTAAAAAGTTTTATTACACTCAACAGCCATAATATTCGATCCTTAACACAGGAAAGAAACTAAATGTTTTTGGTAAGAAACGCACGTAGCGACACTTGATTGGTGACAAAAAAGAATTATTGACTATCCCAAAATGATCACTGTTGCCTTGAAAAATCTATAAAAAAAGCAAAACCCAATGAGTTATCTTTTTGACAATGTATATTAATGCTGTAAAAAGATTTGCAAAATAGACTTTCGAAAACTCGGGGCTGATTTATTGAAAGTTCCAATAAATTATGTTTCTACAACTCCATAGAAACAGGGAAAATTCAGTCCCTTCTATTAAGGTCTTGCAGATTGCGTGGTTTCCGCAGAAAATTTAGAAGACAAAAGTGAAAAAAAGTGTAAACAACATATAATCAAAGTCGAAAAATTTGTCTTTTTCATATTGTTTATTAAAAGTTTATTTATTGGTTATCATAACATTTAACTTGTTCATATGTTATAGAAAACAATTAAATACAGGTTGAATAAATTTATTTGAAATTTGTTTTAATTACACAATCAACAAGACAATGAAAATCAGAAATTGCACATAACAAAATATTGGCACAACGCAAAAGATTGTTGTGATAAAGAGCTGGAATGCAAGTTTGGTATTTACTCAGTATTTGGTAGAACCTCTCTTTACACAAATTACAATTTGAAATGACATTGACGCCCATGCAGAGGGATTTGATGGCTGACTTAAATTAGTCCAAATTTTACATGCTATTGATCTTCATCTTTCTATTGAGAATGCCTGGCAGATTCTCTTTAAAGTCCATGTCATGAAAGTAACCTTCTCTTCTTGATTAACAAATGAAAAGAAAATTTCGCTTCGTTTAATGAGAGGATTGTGGACTACTTATTAACAGCTCTAATTTTTTTGCCTTATCCCCAAAAAGCTGGTTCCTACGTTGTCTTTCGGTCCAAAAGCAGCTGGAAAGAATTAATGCAGCATTGAAGTCAATTTCGTGTACGTGCCTGTGAGTGGTGGCTCTTTAGTCTTTAACTCCTGCTTCCTAGTCTTTATGGTGTAATGTGGCACTCTGATCCCATGTTCCATGCATCTTTGAAAGGAAACGATCATCTCTTTTGTCTGTGCACTCCTTCCACCCACATTGTTTCTTTAATATACAATGGGTGGCCAACAAAAGTGGCCCCCACTATGAAATATGGGTTTTGGTACATCAACTTTGGAAAATTTATTTGCTCGCTATACATTCTCCTGGGAATGATTTTCAATACAAACTGAAAAAATTTCTTTCTGTTTACTTCTTTCTCTTTTTTTCTTAAAATTTCCCACAAAAACCACGTGACCTCTTGTTTTTATAAAGTTATAGAAATATGGGTTGTTTTGACCGCACAACCCATCAGCACCCGTGTTTCTAAAGGATTATTTTACAAACTATTTTATTACATCTTACTTCTGGATAGGAAAAATTTTTTTATTTAGTTTATCTAGCCTACTACATTACATCTGATAACTGTCCAGCATGATACTCAGTCTGCTGTAAGTTACAGAAATTGTCGGCATTATACAAACGAAATTTCTGCAACCTCAAGTAAACGAACAAATAAGAATATCACTTTAAAGTAATCCACAACATTGATACGAAATAGACAAATATGTTTTTCAGCCGCACACAATAAATACGATGACGTACAAAAAAAACAACAAATACGGGCAAACTGACGTTCACTCCTCACTTGACGCTGAAAATAACTATATCACTTGATATGTCTAATTTATAATATTATCCAAATTATTTAATTTTTTACCATGTAAAGATATGTCACACCTTTATAGATCCATTTTCGTAATAATCTGACCATGTTGTGCCATTATTGCTGTATGAAATCGAGTAGGTTCTTATCCATTTATTACTTTTATAACTTGCACCTTGAGTAGCAACGCTGGTTACAAATGTAACTTTACCAAAGTCAACTTGATGCCATGAGTTGGAGCTGACAGATGGTGACCAGCATTTATTGTTTCTTAATCGACCAAATCGGGCTTCGTAAAAAGAGGACCAAATAGAGGACGCTGTAATCGCATCATTAGGAATTTTGCCATTTTCCATTCCCAATGGCTGTGGAAATTTGCAATCTAAAAATAATGTTCAGGACAAAAAACAGAACTTTTTTATGGCAATGTTAAAACAGCTATTTTGTGTAAATTCTAACAATTGTATTATTAAGCTGTAAAATTTAAATCTGGTAAAACTGTTAAAGCATTATTTTTCCTAGTCTTTCCATAAATATACTGAAATAAATCAATAAAGTTACATAGCTTTTCATCATAAAACATTTTTTATCAATAAAAACAGAAACAGGCTGATTCTAAGAAGACTGAAAAATCAAAAACAATAAGCAACTATAAGCTGTTGTTTTTTTGAGAGTTTATGAGTATGAACAGTTTGAATTGATCAGAATATCCAAAAGAAATGCCATTTATTATTGTTATGGCTTCATTACTGTTTGGCATAGCTAATAGTTATTCCAGATATCCCCATGCAGCAGCAGATCTGTAACAGTATATCATCATTTAATCATAACACAAAACTTTTAATATTTATTCCTTTTATATTTGTATTCATTAAAGTATCAACATCCTGGGGATGCTACTATCTTGACGTCAGTCTTTATTTTGTCTAATTCCCGTTTCGAACGTCAAACTTTATGTATGCCAAATGGATTAAAGAGAAAATGAGATGAAATTCCTCATTATCTTTTCTTTTAAATGCATTCGGCTCATTTAAATACCATGTTTGAAATGGGTCTGGATGCCAATCACACAAGCAATTTTGACGTCTCATATTTGAATTAAAGAACAACAGTCAACATTGTAAAAGTAAATATCAATAAGCTATATTGCACTGGGCGTATTTTGATATGAAGGCTATATAGAGAATGCAAACTAACATACCTCCTTCTTCTTCTATAATCTTTGTTTCGTGATGTATCTATATGAATTTAAGGCAAATGCTAATGTAATTAATCGCTCTGTTTTGTGGTTAAAAAGTCAAACCAAAATCTTACAGCCTTTCTTTGTGGATTAATCAATTTATAAATGCTCCACTCGATATCACCACAACTTGCATTTTTCTGTGGTTGTTTACTAGTTAACTGACAATTTTTATTTTTTGTCATTGCACCTTCCCAAAAATTGATTCCAACGCAGAATGGCTCTTGTAAGCATTTCAATGAACATGAAAGTATTGATGGATACGATGTCTCAAACAGGATATCTTGAAATAGTGGACATGTCCCTAAGAACATTTAGGGAATGCTTTACTATATTAGCACTTTTATTAGCACTTTTGCAAAGCGTTGCAATAGTAATTAAAAATTTCATAATATGTTTTTATTAAATTATAGCTCCTCAATTTTAAATTCAAATTACATTCACAAAAAAATATTGGTTTTTTATTTCTAAAGAATATAATTTGCCAATGAATGTGCCTCTCAGGTGTTTAGAAAATGTAAATATACGTTGTAACGTGTTGCAGTAATTTGTTTTGAGCTACTCTAAATCTGCAACTGGATTGGGTAAATGGCAACAACGACAGACGCGTTTTGAACGCTCCGTATTGAAACGTTTTCAATAGCGTCTGTCAAAACATGCTTGAGTTTTTTCCCAGACAATTTTAGCCAAATTTATGCAGTGTGTCAATCATCCTTTAGGCTAGTCAATCCGACTCGATTATTCTTTAGAATATGATATGTTATTAAATTATATTTGTATTTTTCTCATCAATGTTCGCATCGTGTTAATAGATAGATTTAGATTTGGGACGCGATGTCAAAGACGACGTGAGTTGACCGAAGCGTTCAGGGTCTACGACGCCGACAAGGACGCCGTCGTCCTTCATGTAAAGAGTGATTTAGATTATATAAAAAAAGGATGATTTTTTACGAAAAAACAATTCATCGTTTATGCGATTTTACTCAGTCATTTAGCTTTTGTTTCTATAGTCGCTGATAATTCAAGAGATTATGGAGGAAAAAACAACACTCTAGTTGAGAGTAATAGTTGGTTTCCACGGATAGAAAAACATAATAATAATTCATGTAAACAATCAACAAGATAAATAATTTCGTTTTTATTTTATTTTAGATAAATTTTTCTTTATCTTACTTGCAATGCCGACGTTAAATTATAATCAAAACTAGAGAAAGCAGCTTTTAAAAGGGAGAATTTCATTGAAATGTGGCGTGTTTTGTAGGCTATTTTTATGATGTTTTGTCAATGCTTGAGCAGCTGCGCTATATTTCATACAATCAATAGAAACAAATCTACAACTCAACATTTACTATTGAAAATCTTATTGAAGTGGCATGAAATAGCAATAAAATGATAAAAAAGATGGAATTTAGTTAAAAGAAACGTATTATGTTTTTCTATCCAAGCTAACCAACTATTATACTAAACTTAAAGGTTGTTTTTTGTCTGAATAATCAGCAACTATGGAAACAAATGCTAAATGACTCCGTAAAACCAGATAAAAGATTAATTTCTTATTTCGTAAAATAAAGTCGTGTTCTCATATAATCTAAATCAATCTACACATAAAAGACGACGGCGTCGCCGACCCAGACCACCTCGGTCAACTCACGTCGTCTTAGACGTTGCGTCCTTAAATCTAAATCTATCTAATGATTGTTCAATACGCGCTGTTATTGTTTGTGTTGCTCGTTTGAAAAAAATAAATGGCATAAATTAAGTCGATGTTTTTTATTGTACTTCACAAACGCTTTATTCAACTTTGATTGTTTTTATATTGAAATTATGAATGCAAAATGAAATATACAATACGCCCTACATTGAATGCTGTTTTTCTCTTAAAGAAGGGAAAATGCTGCATAACAATTTAATGTGATGCTTGCTTTGGAACTATTGATTTGCTGTTGACCAACAAATTAGTGCTGGATCTCATTTTTCTGGGGATGGTCAAAATGTTACATTTAGAAAGCATTTTGTGCTTAAATAAAACTAATAAGTTTGATTTTTATTAGTTAAACTGTTCGAAATTTGGTGAAGTCTTTTTCCATGAATTTTAATTGAATTTTTAAACGATTGTGTATAGTGATGTGTCTTCAGTTCCAAAATGTAATTCCTAGGTTTCCCAGCAGGTCATTTGTGGAATAGATTTGAATGTGTTGATGGTTATATTACTACATTTTTTGATGCATATGATGTAAAGGCTTAATAGATAACTACTTTAATTGTGCAGTCTCTTTTACTTGAGAGCTGCCCTTCTAAAAATGGTAAGGCTTTTAGGTTATTATAAATTTAGTCTTTGGAAAATAGCGCTTAAGATACAAAAGTATTTCAGGGGAAAGGCTCCACTTCCCCATTAAGGCTTTGAATTTTTGGTACTTGAATTGTCCCCTGGTCTAAAATTCTGGCAACGCCCTTTGGCAGGCAAATGATTTATTTCGTCATAGTTATATCCTAGACTAAATCCTTAAATGAACTTTAACACATAACAATATTACAAAAATAATAAAACACAACACAATCCAACACAATGAAAGACAGAATTTCGCATTTCGGGCAGACGATGGGCATTTTGATTGTATGCATAAACTTCAAGCTTGTGAACTAATATGATCCTACTTATAGTCATTAACTCCCAACACGATAACAGCATTGGCTTATACTTTTTTGTTGTTGTCCTTATGATTATGATTATGTTTTCAAAATAATGTACAGCTGTTCATTTTCACTTTAAATATTGTAGCACTTCAAATACATTTAACCTCCTTAATTATTCATTTTTCGTAAATGTTTTCAATTAACTGAGTTTGCTGGGTTTTAATATTTTTGATTGCCAACCTCAACAAAATGAAAACATCAAAATTAAAAATTATTTAATATTAAAAAACAAACAATATAATTGTACATTCCTAAACTCGCACCGCAAAAACTTGCAAGCTGCCAAAAATAACCCAAATTTTTGGCCTCAAAATATTAATATCTGCGCGGCGTATTAACTCCACATCACATTTTCTAAAATTTATTATTGTGTAAACTAAAACCCAAACTTTAATTTCACCAAAAAAAAAATTTTCAACTCCTCATTTCTGCTTTTACAAGACTTTGTCTATTTTTTATACGCATTTAACTACAGTTAATACCAAACATAAATTTCTTAAAGCGTTATGAGCATTAACTAGTTTGGACTAAACTACAAAACTTACCTTTTTGGAGCAAACGCAATTGTATCATCTCGTAATCACCAATATTTTTTTCCATGGCAAGTGTGATTAATGGATTTGAGATTAAAATGAAATATACCGACAAAATAGTGAACATATCGAAAGAAAAAATAAATCAACTTAAGGTGAGAAGTGCATTACATAAATGAACTAGAAAGCGCTCATAGTATTTATATACCACAGCTGCAAATCTTAAAAAGCTGCAAAAGTCTTACGTATATGCATATTAATTATTAACGGTCTGTTTACACATCAGTAAAGGGTGTTTGCATGTGACGTCAACGCGGCCATGTTTTGAGAGTATATCGAAGTGCCGATGCTCAACAGAACATGAAATTAACATAAATCTTTTCATTATATGCGATTTTCCCCCAACATGGCGACCGATGAAAACAGTCTTAGATTGCAAAGAAGAATGTTGCAGCATTTGCTGATCATTAAAGCAAAAACAGAAGTCATTGAAATGATGGCAATGTCAATAACCCGTTTCAGTTGTTCAATGGCGCCAACTTAATTAAGCTGCATAAGTAGGCATATTCATTAATAATGTCTTATTACGTATTTCATTAAAGTGACTATGTCATGTTTTTGAAGTCAGGCTTTTTAGATAGTTCAGATGATTTTGGACAATTTACAGGGGAAATGTTTGATCTTTGTGGATTTTTTCTTGCTCAAAGTCGATAAATTTTTTCTTGTCCGTGATGACAAAAAATCGAGAGTCCCGATCTGACGTCAAATCGGGAACACGCGTTCAAATAACACTATAAAAGCAAGGCTGTATTGTCTCATTTCACATTGTATTTTGTTTTCATTTGCTCATATATTATAAAACAATATATGAAAAAAGATATGTTTATCTAAAACGTTTTCTACACAATCCTGTATAAAATATGGTGCAGCCTCCACAAACGAGTTCCCGATTTGACGTCACAAATAATATTAGTTACCAGTTTTTCATACTGGCGGTCAAACGTTAAAAAACTTGAAATCATCAAGTTAGAGGGCCAAAAAACCGATAAAGCTCAAATTTTTTAATAATAGAATATATTGCAAAACTTTTTGAAAATCGTCCAAACTATGTAAGTAATCTAAATTCAAGAACATGTTTTAGACACTTTAAACCAAAATTAATAGCACGAAATGAATGCCAAGAGTTTTTACACCATAGTCTTACCTACGTCACAAAAATCTACTCTCTGGTATTATTGGGGAGTAAACAGGCGTGCAGCAATAGAGTTTATTATTATATCTTTCAACTTTTTTGCATTATGCCAAAATTTTGCTTCGTTTTAAACTGTTTTAACGAAAGATCTAAGCGGAAAGATCTCTCCTTTTGTCGAGTGCCCAAATTTGTTACAATGCTAGGCGTAGAAACGGAGATTTTTTTTATAATTGTTGTTAAGCACAATAACACTTTTAAATTCCTAATTGGATGAGGCGAGGGAAGAAGAATATCAGATAAGTTCTTGACTGAATGATGTGGGATTCTTAATAAACCTTTGCCAGGTGATATGGTCCTTGCTGATAGAGGTTTTACTGTGCATGAAAGTATTTTATTCTATCATGTCGACCTGAATATCTCAGTTTTCACTTAGGGAATAGATCAGCTTGATCCTGTTGATGTAGAGAAACCAGTAGAATTGCTTCAGTGAGAATCCATGTCGAAAGAATTATTGGGACATTGTGGCAAAAGTATGCAATCTTTCAACAAATCTTACCAACAGATTATGATGCCTGAAGAGATAGACAGTTTGCTCAGCTGTCAATCTTTGCCCACCTACTTTCTCATTTGATTAAAGGAGCACTGAACATTGAATGGGTTGTACTATTGAGGAAACTTATTTTAATTTTTATTTTCATTTTTTTTACAAAAGATTATCTCTTTACATTCTTGATAACACATATTAAATATTTTGTGACAAACAGTGTAGACTTTGAATTCCTTGCTCTAATGTTGTTATGCTGTATTTTTACCAATGTATTTTAAATAATCTTGTGCAAAAAATGCAATGGTGGTCAAGACTGAGAACTTCCACGTGGTGATCACTGGGTGAGAACAGCAGAAATACTTGCGATTAGACTGCATTAATGATTAATTTGTTTGAATGAGTAATCATCGCATTTTTATACCGTCTGTTAGCTGATCTCAGTATGAGTTGTTAACGTCTGTCATTTCTGTTATTGTAAACAACTTTTGATTAGCTTATGGTGTGTTTTTTTTTAATATTTGGGATTACCGTATTGGAAGTTTTCCCAATACTTTAAACAACAAGGTTATGGGAGTACATTAATCTGCTTTACATATGACACATTTTTAAGTTTCAATTTTGATATGAATTAGTTGATAGCACTTTTTGCCATATCCTCTCCCAATTTCCATGCAAAATACAAGAAAGACACCAAATATCATTTCATAGAATAATTTTTCTTTATTAACTAAGTACATAAGTATCATGGTATGAATAGAATCTATGCTTCAGTGTTTTAGTATCGTACATAATGAAATTCGAATCTGTGGTTTTTTAAAGAATACTTCTGTTTGCTGAGATCAGGCAGTATGTTGTGAATGCAGCAACTTGGAAAGAGAAAAAATGTTTATGCACAAGTAAAAATAAAGTCAGCAGACAAACCAATCAAAATTTTATCTCACAACATGCTGTTGCTCAGTGGTCACCACGAGGAGGTTCTTAGTCTTGACCATTAAAAGTTATTGCAAAAGATCAATTGAAAAGCTGTACCTTTGAAATGATATATTTGCACAAATGATACATAATCAGAAAAATAATTTCCAATGTATAGTAAGCGTATGCAAAAATGAGGACTGTTTTATGCGCAGCTTTTCAAATGGTCTTGTGCAACAGAAAAATAAAAATAAAATGTTACTTATCCAACTGCTCAGCCACAGGAAAAGGTTGTTAGATGCGACCTTATAAAATTTGCAAAAAAAGTAGCAGCCGGTATCTCCGCCCTTAGAAAATTAAAGCCATACACAGACAAACACTTATCTCTATTTATAATGCCCTCGTACATCCTTACTTCACATATTGCTGTGATGTTTGGGGTGTATTGGGGGAAACTCAGTCCAAAAGACTACAAAAACTTCAAAATAGAGCTGCAAAAATTATCATAAGCATGGGCAATGATGTCGATTATTGTAACGCATTACAAGAATTGAAGTGGGAACCTCTTGAAATACTTAGAGAAAAAGCTAAAGCAAAGCTGATGCTTAAATTATTAAAAAATGCTGGACCAAATTCACTTACTAGATTGTTTACCTATAAAAAAGACATCACTGATTACAATCTACGCAATATTACAAATTGTCTAAATGATCCTATGCCTAGTACTAACTCCTTGAAGAAAAGCTTTGCGTATGATGGGGCTTCTGTCTGGAATTCAATTCCAGCAGAAATCAGAAATAGCAAAAGCGTGTCACTTTTTCAAAAGAAAATTGCTGCTTGCATTTTATGATTTAGTTTAACATGTAACTGATGGAATAAACTAAACTCTGTAAATATTTAAACTTCTCTTCTGTAGATAATTTATTTCTTAGTAAATTTTGTAATTGTTTTTGAACAAAAGCACGCCCCTTGTGGAAATCAACCCCAGTTGACAAGGCCAGCGTGTCAAAATAAAGATTTTCATTCATTCATTCATTCATTGACTTACATCAAAGTTCGGGATATTCCTGTCCAAACTGTAAGAAAGTGCTGTGGCAAGCAATTGCAAAACACCACAGTCAGAACCATTTGACTGTTGTTGCACAGGTAGAACTGATATATACTTAAAATCTTCACCAACTGAGTTCTGAACTTGCTGCTGCATGCGCAAATCATCAAAGCAACATCATGAAACAGACTGTCATACAAATTTACAAATCCTTCTTTTCCTCCAATTGAGCTTACACATACCAAATAATTGCCCCCAGTGTACAAAATCTGAAGAAAATCCACGTTAACTTTGTCAAAATTTAAATGCACTCGAAGACTTGTTCTTTGAAATCCTTGTATACCTGGATTGACTGTTTTAAAATGTTTTCGAGCACACTGTATAATAGTTTTTTAAAGACAAACATTAGGGTATTTAGTCACATCAAAGTCATGAGCAAATAGTGCTGATATTATCTCATATTTCTCGACAACAGTACAATTGGTTTCACCCAAAAAAATAATAGCAGAATCATCAAAGGCACTAGATATAGATGGAGAAGACACTTTGGGTGTTTTTGAGCTTTTTGCGGCAAGAATACTTTGCAATTTGCAATCATTACATAACAAGGACAATCTGTGATTATTTGAATAGCGCTTGTAGAATAAAAAAACTCAAATGAAAGAATTTTCAACTTGAGCGACTTTCGCTGTAGCATTTAAGCAATTTGTCACCTTTTTTAGCTTTTTCTTGACATAAACTGATTAAATTAAGCGACAATGCTTCTTTCAGAAAAATTCGTCCATTTGGCTTTTGGGCTTTTTTCGTACTTCGAATAATTTCAGCAGCTTTCTACAATGTGGGCACAGCGATGTTTTAGGGACATCAGCTAAGTTGAAAAGTTAAGTAAAGACAAGCTAAGTTGAAAAGTGAAATTGGAAACTCTGGATTTCAACAAGTTGCTGTGGGTTCATCAGAAGTTCTTCTGCAATAACAATCACCTGAAACAGAACAAACATTTCTTTTAAGTCCATCTTTTTTGTGTGCTATCTGCCGAGAACTTCTGTTAAAACACAGTTCACCCAGAAAACTGATAAGTTTTCAACCTGAGCAGCCCAGTGTTCAGCATCTGGTAAAATTCTTCCTGAGCAATTTTCGAACCATTCTGAGAAGTGCCCAAAACAACAAGATCACTGTAGGATCGCTTGGTAATACCAAGGTGTTGTCGAACGTGATAGTAATACGGGTGCTCCCCTCTTTATTACAAAACTTCCATTTTTTTAAGACATGAAAACTTTTTCTCACAATAACTGTCAAAGTTGGTCCCTTCTATGCAGTACGGGCACTTGATCTCACCACAATCAAAGCCACAAAAGTTGCATTCTCGCAAAAAAGTCAGGGTTGGCTTGAAGTAAAGGATAAACAGAATTAGTGAAAGTCCCAGATTTAGTAATTTTAAAGTTTAAGTGCTCCTGCTGTATATGTGGGCTGTGTAAGATTTAATTGCCAAGTTTTTGCGTTTAGAACCATGGACTGTTGATGCTGTGCTAAACCGAAATAAGTGGGGATACTAAATTGACTTAATTAGTGAAAGATTGCAAACGTTGAACTGGGTTTGTGTGTGTTGTTGCATGACACTTTGAGGTACCAATCCTACAAGAATGATGTCGAAAAGATGCATTGCTTTTTTGCCTGCTCTAGAGCAGGATTTTTTTCAATTAGCTTAACTTGATTAGACGAAATGCTAATTTTCACACGGTAGCATTATTGTAATCTAGCTCCAAATGCTTTGGGTCAAACAAATCCAAAATAGAGCAAATATCGCTTGTTTCATATATATAAGCATCAGCATAGGGCTCTTTAAGACTTAAACAGACTGGTTTAATCTTGCATTTATTTAAAGAGTCATAAAAGTTATCAAGTTCTTTTTGAGATGGTGCCCATGCCATGAGCACTTGACTTTAGTACACGAGAGTCTATCATTCAGCCATGATTACACTTCCAAATAAAGCAAAGTGCCAACAACTTGAGGGCGACACTCGTCTAAACCAGCCATACAACCTTAACAATGTGCGCTAAGAATACCACCACCCTTCGTAAAAATAATCCACACCTTAACTGGTGAATCGTTCATCGTTTGCGAGTGACAAACCTTCGCAATCATGACGACACCAAAACAAGAAATCTTGTCACTATAACGCTTTCTTATCATACTTGCAAGTGTATTTTCACAATAAGAAAAAGGATATTATGAATTACTTCGTCTTTTAATGAGCTTTGAGACTTCTGTTCGGAATGGGCAGCAGCCATGTTAGGTGTTAGTCCCCCCCAATGGCGACCAGCAAAGTTGTGACGTCACGTGAAACACACTATTGTTCTATCTTGTTCGGTTAGCACTATTTTCCACCCAGCAAACCACCCTTTACATTGAAATATAATATTTTACACAATAAATTAAAGATGGCGGCTAATGGCAAAGAACTAAAAGCTAAAAGAAAACCATGCGTGCACTGGTGCTAGGTCATTTTGAGATGGTGAGTAATTTTATATTTTTATAATACAGTTTTTTATATCAAAATATGAAAATATTTACAGATAAATGTTGCAGTATAAATTTTCATGCAACCACCTTAAGTTATAAACTTATAAAAAGTCAAATACACTATTTGCTGTTTTATCTGTGACTTAATATCCCTGGACTCTCTGACGAAGTAAGCATCGTAAAACTTATAGATTTTATGAACTGTATGAAGGCGATGACTTCAAAAAGGAAGCATAGTTGTAACCATTAACTTATCAAGTTAAAGTGCTATTGAAGTGAAATTTTCATACCTTGTTTTTTGACACACATTTTCTCTGTATTTTATTGATCATTTTGAGTTATCGCACACTGAATTTGATCGACGGGAACGCATCGAAATTTGCGTTAAAACATGGCACTTTCGCCTGTTTTGATGCGAATTTGACTTTGAGGGCATGACGTCATTTAAAAGACGGAAGTTCGATATTAAAGCTATCAGTTAATAAAAATATATACGAATCAGAATATTTCCAACATGACTTTTACATTTTTTATGACTTTTTTGCAAAAATCGAGTATAGTTGGTGAAAAATGTGTAATACCAATAAGCATACAACAAATGCAATTCATTTTACTTCTATAAACTTCTAAAATAAACTTATAATTCTTGATGAACTGGGTGCCGAACCATTGCGCAGTATGTGGTTTAATACACATGCAGTGTTATCAGAAATGCGCTTAGTTCCAACCTGTTATAGTTTTACAAGCTCCTCGATTAGACTTGTAATTCTCGAAGAGAATTTTTAACAATTGATCAGAAATATTTTACCGAATAACAATAAACAGTTGTATCTTTTATCTGAGCCAAGCTCGATTTTTCGAATAACTAACCCACTACATATTCGTATAGTTCACTCAAAAGACGTAAATATAATTACTTGAAAGAGTACTCATTTTCAAAGGTTCAGAAGTTCTTAAAATCATCTCATTCACACAAAGAGAATCAGGAAAATTTAACAGCTTGTGATTCGATATACTTCTATAAGAAGCGTTCATCGACAACAGGTAAAATTCTATTATATTTTTAATGCTATCAATCTCGCAACAAGCCAAGTCAATCCAAAAAGCTAACACCCATCTCAGAAGATCATAGAGAATAGAATCATGCAGCTCACATACTACAAATTTCATGAAAGATCTAAATTAATTTCAAAGGTAAGTCTTTGAAAAGGACAAGAAATAATTACACGGTACTGACTTCTCACCCATTTTGTGGAAGACGTTTCGAACACCCTGCTAATTGAAAGTTGCATCCTACAACCCTGGTGTGTACAGTCCACAAATTAAAATTTGTTTCATTTTGCGCTAAAGCAACTCTAGCCAATATTCTACATGGCTACATGGCATTAGCGGCTAAAAATAGGATTTGCACATTTGCTTGCCATATAGCTGACCTGCCTTATTTATACATTTTGCTGGTAAGCAGAATAATACCAAGAGAGGTTAACCATTGTTGCAAGTGATCTCTAAAAGTACTCTTTCCACACACGTATCGTTGTTTCCAAGGAAATTTCGAGAGGCTTACATGTTTTCACTGGGAGAACATGTTGCGCGTTGTTAATTTTAAACACAATATGTAATTGCGTGTTTTTAGTTTTAAAAGTCATCATATCAGTGGTGATTTTTTAAAAAAATCCAAGTTTCTTGGGATTATTGCAAACTTCGTCAATGGCAGCTCTTGCTCAGTACTGTTTTAATAGAGTAAAATCGAAAACGGCAAAGATTTCCAGTGAAGTGATTGAGTTGAACAAAAATTGACATATCAGAGTGTTAGCAATCACAAATCAAAACGCTGAAACTCTGTAAAACTTGCAAAAATCTTAGATTACACAGACAAAATATTTCTTTATGATCACATTTCAGTTTTCTCAATTGTATACATATCTAAGGCCTGTTTCAAACGTCGAATTTTTTATGCACCGAACACTCTAAAGACAAAAGTAAATGAGATGAACTTCCTCATTATCTTTTGTTTTAAATGCGTTCGCCTCATGTGAAGTTCGGCGTTTGAAACCGGCCTAAAATGGCTACAAACCATAAGTTAAAGTTATACGGGTAAGTGTCGCATCACTTATACATACTCAAAGTTAATCATTCATATTTAGTCTGCATGCACGCGTGACTAAAACTTCTGGGCTTTAATAATTAACATAAATGTATGGCATACTTACAAACTTGGAGTTACCATCGCAATGTAATATTGCTGCCACTCGCACCGAGTAGGCGAAAAGTGCCATTTGCAAATTGCTATTGGGTGTTTTCCATCATTTATCATTTGTTATAAGCGACGCAATACCAAAACACAGTCATTTTTCAAACATAAGATTGATATGATGAGCAACAAACTGCATTATCTTGTATATTTTTTCACTTAACCAAAGTAATTGTATCACCTTCTTTTCAAATTCTCATATAACTAAGTCAATTTATAGAAGAACATGCAAGAAGTAACACTGTATGTATGTATAATATGCAAATACTAAATTGAGAATAATTGGACGAGCAGTTTTTCAAAGTTCATTTTACAAAATTTGCATGCTAAAGGCAAGCGGTAGGCAAAGCAATTGCTTCATTTAAATTATTGATCTTTACATGTATATGTTGCAGTTGACATGAAAATTAGAATTCAGCCACTAACCAATTAAATCATGTTAACTGGAGCTTAAAGGATGTTTTCTGTATTTTGTTCAATTTGTTGCCAACCAACACAAGATTAACACATCCATTAACACTAACAATTATATGGTGTCATATATGTAGCTCTCAATCTCCCAGTGTTTGTGTGTAAGTTGTAGACAGCCCGCAATGTGGTCCTGCTATGACTGATGTAGCAAGCGCGCAAATTTGGCTATTTAAATTTCAGACTATTAGTTAGCATTATCAATTTCTTTGGAAATTTATTGTTTTCAGAGTGAGTGAAAACAAAAATTTTACATAACACAACCAAACTTGCGGGCTGGCAACGCGACTGCTTCCTATGCAAATCTTTCTGTGTTAAATCAGTGCAAAAGCAATTGATTTCTAAAAAATTAAAAATTTTAGTGCTCTGCAAATTTACATGGCAGGACTAAACTTAGTGAGCTGGCTACGCCACTGTGAATTGCTGTGTGCTTAAAACACAAATAACCTGAAAAAGATGTAATGAATAAGAAAATTCATTTAATTTTTCAATAAAAATAAGTACAATATGATGTATATAACTGGAAAATGCTCAATGATTAGCAAACGTAAAAAATACGATGAAATGAAATAAAAGAGTTTAAACTGTAACACCTTTCAAATAGTAAACCCATTCAATGTTGTGATTAAGACTAGCACTGGAAGAAGACGCAATAACCAAACGACCCATTCGCGTCGTCTTTGCATTGCTTTGATTACCCTCGAACGTGACAACAACGTTATGAACCTTTTTAGCGCGAATCGTTTCCGATGACTTCACGCTAAATACTGGATTGTCCACGAGAAAGGTAAATTGGGTCGATTGGGAAAACACGTTCTTGAACGGGATAGACGCACTTGCACCAGCCTTTATCGTATACGGTCCCTGAGGTTTGGGCGGAGCAGCATAACCATATAAGGGAAAAGTGTAGTCCCCACCCATGGGTGATGTCACCAGCAAGGTAGAGCGCGAGTTGCCTAGGCTACTTGGTTCATACGTCACTTCGACACTGACCTCAGTTCCGCCACTCGATGCCGAGGCAGCTGTTATTGAACGCTCGACATGAAAGTCAGGACTGTCCACCTGAGAAAAAATAAATATGACATCAAAATACTTATCAAAATATTTTAATTAATGAATACCATGGGAAAATGTAACTAATGAATGTCATTGGAAAATGTAATTAATGAGTACCATGGCGAAATGTAATCAATGAATACAATGGGGAAATAGTATTATATTTTCTGCTTTGATGTGCATTTGAGAAGTAGCTATATATTGCTGAAGTAAATTAAAAAAATCTCAACTAAAACGAAACACTTCATCATTGAGAAATAGCAAACAAATTGCTATTCATATTGAACAGAAAAAAAAATGGAACAAAACATGCAAGCAAAAATATTGTCCTTCAAACCCAAAACACACGTGACGTGTTGATGTTACCTTGCAAAGATACTCGACGCGTGATTTACAGAAATTTATGAAGCGACAAGTGTGACTTTGCGACGAGCCAAGGTAAGTGCGAAAATGCACTTGGTTTTCTGAACCAGCACGTGATGCTTTAAGATTTAGGTCATATTGGTAAAACCCAAGTTCTGAACTGGAGAGAGTGAGACGTCCACTCGATTCCCCAGCCTTAAGAGGCAGATAGTCAAAAGTAAAAGAACCCTAAAACGTGAATTACAATATGGTTAGAACATATTGTTTAAGCAGAAAACGAATTTTTTTAAAAAAATAATAGTGGAGCAAAAGAAAAGTTTCATTAAAAAACATCAATTGATCGTGGCCACAGATTTGCCAGGCGGAAAGCGAATTTTCAATATGATCATAATAGCCCAACATAAGACTTTTAAAAAAGCCATCACAATAATAAAATAGAGAAAGATTTATTAATAACGTTTCGTCTTTAACCTAAGACATCTATAACTTATCTCAAGTATTAAGTTAAAGACGAAACGTTATTAATAAATCTTTTTCTATTTTATTATTGCGATAGCTTTTTTAAAGGTCTTATTTTGGGCTATTATGTTCATATTGAAAACATCAATTGATGTTACATAATAACGTTCTTTATGTAACGTTGTATACAACAATTTTACATTCAGAAAATTCTTGAAATGTGGTAGGATTTAGAACAATATGATAGTGAATGATTAGTGCTGTACAAACTCAGAATTTTTAGCTCTGGCTCTAGTTATTTTATAACTCAAACACCTGTTTAGCATTCTAATGAGTATTATTAGTAAAATTACGAAAATTGTACAATCAATGAAGCACAAAAAAGCACTTACCTCCGACTGTGGAGGTATGGTGAAATTGGGCGGAAGTTGAATATCAGAAACAGTGGATGCGGTTGAGAAACTGACTTGAGTGGTCAGCGGATTGTACAAGCTGATGGCATGCGAGGTTGACTGTCGTACAGGAGTCGTCAGTTCGATGGTGGATATAATTCCAGGTGAAGTCGCTTTGAATGTTACATAGTAGAATAAGTATTCCAATGTTTGCTCGTTCTTAAAGATAATCTAAAATACGAAAATATAATCCTCAAAGCGTGAGTGTCAACCAAGATGCATTGCGCGTTAATCACTGAGTGGCGGCCATTTTGAGGGTCGAGAAAATGGAAGATTTTGTTATTGTAGTTAATGTAACTTGGAAAAACGATAATGATTAATGTAAAATAGAATTTTTTGTTTTTTCGCTAACATTACAGACAAATTAGACGACGTAGTAAAGAAATTGAATTCACTTTGTTGTAAGCTGAAAAAGTAACGATGGAAACATAAACAAAAGCGAGCAATGCATCTCGGTTGAAACACTTTCTTTCATAACAGCAGGGCATTATATTTCAAGGAAAGAAATAAAATAACTTAAAAGCGCAAAACAGCCAGATGTTATAAAACGACTTGATGTTGAAACTCAAATCCTAACTAATTATTGTAGTCTCTACATGTTATCGATATAATTAACTAACAATTTATTGTAAATCATCAATCAGGCTATTGCAAGCTGTATAATGGTTTGAAGACAAATACTACTACAATTAGAAAGACACCACAATATGTCTATATAAAATACATTCATCATCTATATTTGATGCAGTATATACAACTTTGATGAGAGCTTTAGATGTAAATGTACATGTTTAGATAAAAAGGAATTATACATGTACATATGCATGTTTAGATACAAGGAATCTATAGTTGTACATATGTTTGTTTAGATACAAAGGAATAATATATGTGCATATGTATGTTTAGATATAAGGAATCTATAGTTGTACATATGTATGTTTAGATACAAGGGATTTCTAGATGTGAATATGTATGTTTAGATTTAAGAGAACTATAACTATAGATATATATATTTAGATATAATGGATTATAGACGTAAATATGTACGTTTAGATGCAAGGGTTTACGTAGTATCTTTACAAGAAGTGATAGGAAATGCTAAAACTAAGTCGTTACGTTATTCATGTGACAGGTAAATATATGCTAAAATTGACCCTATTTTTGTTTAGAATAGACTGTCTAATTAATCTGATGTTCAGCGCAAGTCAATACACAATAAAAAAAGACTTTGTTTTGAAATTGAACAGTTCAAATCGGAAGTTTAGAACAAAAATTTAGAAAACAATCCAATACCTTGGCACTGAATGTGCCTTCTTTGTGAGCAAAAAAGTCCACTTTATAATCTTTTTTCATTTGTCCTGGAACATCAATATATTGAAGACCTTTTATTGTGGTCGAACCATCAAGTCGTTCTGGTTTGATCATTTCAATGACCACCCGAAATCTACAGGAGATAATCACAAAAAATTTCAAACAAGATTAAAAACAATAAAACGTCAACATGATAAAGTAACTTGAAGAAGAAGAAACAATTGCGTGTTTCTAAAAGGTAAAGTTTCATAAAGGAAGGTAGGATTATATTTATTGAAAGTTTATTCTGGCTTTCAACCAGTTGATTAATCAACTAATATACAGAAACTAAGTGCTTGCAAACATCCCATAACGTTAGATATCATCAAACGCCATTTTATGTGTATATTTTCCATTGCTTCATATAAATGTCATGAGTGACACTTAGACATTTTTCGTACGTATATGATGTCGCCACTTATTTTGATGTAGCAAACTTGACTTAGGGCAAGTGCTAGAACGTTAATTTAAGGGAGAGGAGGGTGTATTCAATAGTGCCCGACTTACTTCTTTTCAAAGCCAACCGTGTAAATTAGTCGAACAATTAGTGATGAAATACAAACACTACTAGTGAGTACTGTGTCCATTTGTTTTCTGAGTCTTTGAGTTGAAAATCAAAACAGTTTTCAAGCATTTTTAAATAATGTTGCTAAATATGATTTTTGGAAGATTTTATGAAAAAGATCCTAAAGTTTACACGATTTCTACTCCGACGTAATTTGAAGAAGTTGATCCCCTTGTGCATCGGAGTTGCTGCAGAGCTGGAAGATCTACCTTGTGATCTATTTTGTCATGCGCTTCAGACAGTACAATCATTATTGAAGTTGCTGAACATGGTTCAAGTGCACAAAGACATGCTACTTTAACAAGGCATAGATATAAATGTATATCATTGGTTCTCCCCAAATAATTTGTTAACTACGTCATTTTTAGTGCAAAGTTTCCATGGGAACTTTGTAGTATTGTGGTGAGTGGCGAAAATTCACACGAGTCAGTCAGTCAGTCAGTCAGTGTAAACTTTCCGGAGTGTGTCTAGCAATAACGATCATTTTATGTTTAATGATTTTTTAGAGATATATTATCAGTTTTTCAGAGATTATTAAGAGAGAATTTAACACCAACTTTAACTCACATTAAATGAGACATTTAATTGTTTCATTCTAAACTATCAATTAATATGTATATATAAATAAATTCAATTTGATGCGTTATAACAATGTATCTCCCCCCGTTTTACTTCCAGCAGCTCTATTTCTTTGAAGAAATATCTAAATGCGCATGCACCATTTTTGTGCGAACCGTATCATAAACACATGAACTTCACATGTGTCAAAACAATCAAAAAATACAACATAGCCGACACAAAGAATGTAAATCATGAGTGATTTCATAATTTATATGTTGTATACTGCATAGTAAAATAATAAAAGAATGTAATGCATGAACGACAAATGTATGATTGTGGCGTGCCAAATGTCATTATCATGTATCCACTACGTAAGTGCGCATACAAATTAACGTTCATTTACGCAATCTTATAGCAAGTTGTAGCTATTCGTCAAAAAATACAAACTGCTTAGCCTTTGATAAGCACTTCTCGAATTGAATTTTAGTTTACCATTTTTTGAAACGCCAAGGTTCGATACTAAGCTTTCTTGAAACTAATTTTATTTGCCATGATTAGGAACATTTTTTATAAGAAACTTTGCACTATCCTTGGATCCCTAGTTTTAGTTTGATTTTACCTTTGAGGCCTCTTAAGCCAATTGTTAACGGTCAATAATTCGGAATAGTCGATCTTGCATGGAACGTCACGTGAAACGTTGCTTATCGCTTTGGGTGGCTCAGAGACTCCTGTAAAGTTGTACAGCAGCCCACTTCCATCGGGAAGTGGAAAGAAAACAGATCCCTAAAATTTGAGATTGTCATTAGCTCAATACATATCGCTGCTCACAATACAACCGTTAAAAGATAGTCAGCCATTCGTTGAGCTTTTTACAAAATAGTAAATTGAATAAGGCAAAAAACAATCAACTCTTGTGCGCATTCAACAAAGTTCTATTCAACTTCCCAATTTTGTTTGACAAATCACAAAAACAAAATCATGAAACTGAGACAGACAATGAACAAGTTTTTACAGTCTGCGAATACATTCAAAAGCTTCATTAAGAAAACATTTCGAAAAGACGTTGTCCAAAACTCCATATGACAACAAACTTTACCTTTTAATTCAAGCATTGTTCTAAAGTCAAGCTTAGGACAGTTGCACGAAACCTGGACAGCGTTATTCAATAAATAGCAATTTTTTAAACTTTAAAGTGCCTATCAGCGATTTTTTTTGAAAAATTTATAGTTTTTCGGTAATAGATGCTATACATAGAGATTTTATACATACACTGGGTGCCAAAAAAATGAGTCCACTAAATATCAAATGCATATTTTAGTTTTGAACCATATCACCACTCTGTCACAACAATGTTAGGTTTTAAGTTCTCGAAAAAGCAATGTCAGTACATGGTATGTCCTTCCTTAGCTTTCAAAATGTCTTCAACTCTTTTTGGCATAGATTTAACAAGATTTTGAAGTGTAGATGGTTCAATATTATGCCAACATGTAGAGATTACATCCCATAGCCTGTCCTGGCTTGTTACGTCATGTTTCACTTTTTCTCTTTTTAACTCATCCCATAAGTGTTCAATTGGATTAACATCGGGCGATTGAGGCGGAAATGACATGAACTTCAATTCACCTTGATTTTCTTTGTTCCTTAAATAATTTGTGCACAAGTTGGAGCTGTGTTTCGGATCGTTATCCTGAAGTAAGGCAAATCTTCTCCCGCATAACCTTTTGCCAGATGGTACAGCATGCCTTTGGAGAATAGAATGGTATTGCTTTTTGTCAAGATTGCCTTTATTCTGTAAAGACTCCCAACACCATTAAAGCTGAAACAGCCCCAGACTTGAATGTTTCCACCCCCATGCTTTACGGTGGACTTGAGGCACTGACTTGACAATCTTTCACCACATCTTCGTCTCACATAAACACGGCGATTATTTCCATGTATTTCAAACTTTGATTCATCAGTAAAAAGTACTTTTTTCCAATTGTATACGCGGTGATGCTTGTATTTTTTGGCCCATATGAATCTCTTCCGCTTATTTATCGGCGAAGCAACGGCTTGGAAGCTGCAACTCTTCCGTTCAGACCACTTGCAGCCAATCTCCTTCTTACTGTTGTTCTGCTGATTGCTTTCTCTCGGGTGGCGTTAATTGACGATTGAATGTTGTTAGCAGTTGCTCGTCTGTTGCGCTAAGAACTTAGCTTTATGAACTGATCTTCTTTTTTTGTTGTTATACGTGGTCTCCCAGGTTTTGGTAAGCTGGAATAACATTGCGTCTTTTTAAATCTTTCCACGGTTCGCTGCACAGCTCCTTTGGACACTCCCAGCTTTCCAGAAACATTTCGTTGTGAGTAACCTTCGTTAGTGAGAGCAACAATTTGTCCTCTAACTCCTTCATTTAAATCTTTAGCCATTTCCCAATGTACTGCCAATGCGCTTAGATATTGTGAAATATCTTGCAAACAATTGTGGGAGACAATTTCAGGTCTCACTGCGCATTTTCAAGTGGCTACTGTAACTATATATTTCAAAAGACACATTTTTTCCAACAATTTTTCCAATATTGGAGCTGGACTCATTTTTTTGGCACCTAGTGTATATGCTATTATAAAATAAACACATTAAAACGTATGAAATGATTGGTCAATATCCGAGTTTGCATTAGCCTGTGCAAACCGATCGGAGCCCAACCAATAAATAAATCGAACAGAATTTGAAAATCAGTCATGAATACATTTTGGAAAAAAAATTAACGTTCGTGGGAAATTTGTCTGTTTTCCTTTATTGTTATAAAATATTTTTCGTGTTTGCACTGGCTTATGCAAAGCTTGAAGACGTTTGTGTGAACTGCAGAGGACGTGCAAATCTCGACATTCAGTCTCAGGCTTGCACTGATCTGCTCTCCCGTTCTCCCAAAGGTCTCCTCGGTTTGCACAAGCCTGTGCAAACACAGTAAACATCTTTTATTTCTTAAACAGCATACGCTAATATGACATATATACTGAATTTATATTGAATTGTCTTCTCAAAACCATGCTATAATAATAATTTTCTGTACCTGATGGCGCTTTCCTTCGCCTGTCATAACAAGAGGTCGATACGTTAATTCGTAATTCTTGTTCTGCTGCGGCTCAATTGTTATCATATCAGCTCCGGACCAATAAACGCCATCGATTTTCGGGCGCAATTTCCACAGGAGGTTCGTGCGGTTGTTCAACATGATGCTACGTACTTCGCGGGTACGTACATGCGTCGAGAAGTGAATAACCTGGAAATGTTTATGTTAAAGAGTCTTACGGAAATGCTATGCACGCTTGTGTTTACTTCTGGTGTTGAATTTTTGATATCTGATACATAATCTTATAGAAATAGTTTAGGTATTCCATTCTAACCAATTAAATGCGAGTGCTCTCGTCATTTCTTTTTCAATTCTAGTCCTACCACGCATAGAAGTGAGTGACTGAAGATATAGCTTTCATGATACAGGCTCACTATGAAACTAAGGAATCTTCTTAAAAATGGCCACACAAATGTAAAATGAGTTATACTTCTATAGTTTGACGACCTCGTTTCAGTGAATAATCAAGGAAATGACTAAAAAATGGAACTCTTCGGATGCATATTTGCTCTGAAATCCATGTTATCATACAATGTTTATACTCCATGAAACTAGCGTCATCCGCTCAGTACGTGAAGTCAGGCATAGAGTCACCTACGTCAAGGCCCAAAAAGCCCAAGAACACATAATTTTTGACATATCAAATACATTGCAAATGTTTTTCAAATCAATTCTACTATCTAAAAGTCAATCCCGTGACATTAATATTGGCACTTCAAGCATATGTTACATGCAGCTTTGCCAACTATCATCATAGACGAAACAGAAGATATTAACAATCTCAACACTTAAACTTTTCACCATACCTCTTTGGCAGGTGTTTGAGCAACACAGCTACCAGTAAGAACCAATTTTAAAGGATTTCCATCTTCAATCATACAGCTTACCTAATAAGTATATTTAGTACTTTTGGCATGTTTTTATATGAAATGGGTTCCCGTCAAAAGGATGCACATCAGTCAAATTGTAAGTGCGAAGAAAATTTTGCTAAGAAAGAATGAAAATACGATTCAAATATGTTGAAAAAGATAAACTGTTTTCTTCACAAAATTGTTAAAATTATTTTAAAAAGTGAAATTCTTTTCCGCTTCAAGCCAACATGACTTATGAGTAAATATTTAATTTTTGGACAGGAATTAGCCATTGAGAAAAAAACTTTGAATTTAAACTTAAATAACTTATTATGATTTTAAATAACTTTCTAAACCGGCCAGTGCCAGTGCGTATGTATTTGATATACATATTACAGATTACGAACAGAAAAATCGGAAATTTCAGTATTTTTGGCTTAGCGTTTTGCATTCATAAAAAACTTAGAGAAAAATTCAATCTACTATTCCAGCCTTATCTCGTGTTAAGAAAAGCAAAAGTCTACACGAATTTGTACCAATTTTCTTGATGGACACCATTTTGTTTACTAAAAGAAAGACTTCAGAAGTTTTTAACTTTTAACATGCGCAGACAAAATGCGCACATGAATGTATTCATTTTTACTATAAACGTTCATGTACAAATGAGATTTATTAAAATTAATTTTAGCAATGAGGCCAAGCGTGGTTTTATTTATTCACTAGCAGATTGGAAAAACCTTAAATGTGCATTGACTTTAATAAGGCATAAAACTAGGTGTAATAGCAATACAATTCTTAGTGATAACAATTGATCTTACAGTACTACACATTCGACTGGACAGAAACTAAAGTACTCGGACGCGCACAGACTAAACACGCACTCGAATTTAAAAAAGCTTGGTACAGTAAAGTCAACGACACAATAAACAGACATATCGACATATCCATCATATACTCACAAGTCACAACTAAAGAAAAGGACAAAAACTACAAACAACACCAAAACTACAACACTACACTCTTGTATTATTAACACCAATTATATTCACAATACACCAAAACCCATGGCAACGCATTTCACTCCATCCAATCACTTTATTCCACCCGCTAATCCAATTAGACGCTCTAAGTGTCTCCAAGCTAAAAGCACTTGTAAATAAATAATATCCTCATTCTGATGAAGGCTAGAAGCAACGAGTCGAAAGCACAATAAAAATCATTTAAAATCCGGAGAAACTTTTATCTTTTATGTATTAAATGCCTGGATTACCAATTTTCAAACCTATATATATATGTGTGGTGTGTCGTGGTGAGAAAAATTATAGATTCATCCCGACAAGCCTGTTTCGTGATTGCTCACTTTTAGGGATTCCTGAAGAGTGAGCAATCACGAACCAGGCTTGTCGGGATGAATCTGTACTTTGTGATTTTCTCAACACCACTACACATATTTACGCTCTGCTGTCGGGCATCGAGCACTGTTTTATACGGAGAATCATCAAATACGACCTGTGTCCCAAGTGCAGGAGTCACCATTTGTTATACACTTTGTATATATATATATATATATAAAGATAAACGTTTCTCCGGATTTAATTTTTTATATTCAATGCCTGATTACAAATTTTCAAACTTATATATATATATATAAGTTTGAAAATTTGTAATCCAGGAGGGCACATTGTTATACACTTTATATATATATATATATATATATATATATATATATATATATATATATATATATATATATTTTATTTAACAGCTGCGATGTTCGTACTGAAAAAAGATTTCAAATAAGAGAGATTAACAATCGTCTTTAAGCCTTGAGCCGCTTTTGAGACCTCGTAAAAATATTTATAAGTAAGGACCGACCTAATCGATAAATAACGTTGACTGCAGAAATTCAAAAATCATCATTAGGGATTATCAACAAAAACAATTTGTCGGTATTTCCATCATTAAATCAACTTTTACTTCCTGCATCATACAATTTTTCCCTCACCTCACTACGTAGGTCCTGACTAACTTTTTCAGGACAAAACTTCAACTGAAACTCAACCTCACTTCCCGGTGAAGAATATCCTTTGATTGGTTGTACAGAGAAGTCGGAACTCAGCTGATGAACGTTCCACGAGAACCTTGCACCAATATCACCAAGGTTTTGCATGATGACAACACGTGAGCTCTGACTTCCCAACATTACAGCACCAAATGGCACCGAGTTGCTATCAAGTTTGATATCAATGGCTTGACACGCTCCAGAGACAAGAAACACCGTTTGACTCAATCCTACACATTCGAGCAAAACCTAAAGAAATAAAAACTATATAAAGAATTAAGGAATGAAACACTTTATACTTGGTGAGTGTTTGATTTCATACTTCATCAAATTGTCGACTGGTAATGGATTTTGGTGTAACCTACGAACAACCTAGACCACACTACATAAGCTAATGGTAAAATACAAACGCTCGCATAGCAAGTTGGAGAACAGTAACTAACCATTCACTTTGGAACAACCATGTGGACAAATGAACAACCATGATGGACAAAAACATCGCACATTCAGAGAAATATATCTATAGGTTTAACAACTTCTGATGATGTCCGTGCACTTACAATATAAATTGGAATACTGACTTAGTCATATCGACTAATTTCGATTTCAAAAGTTGTCCTCATGCGCAAAATTTTTGTCCGCCATGTTTGCTTATTTGACGTCATAAGTACTACGGAAGTCGTCAAGCTAATTGTAATATCAATTGCCAGGTTGTGAATGCGTACTCGTTATGACGTCAATTTAGCAAATATGGCAGTAGAAAATTTTTGCACAAGAAGAGCAAAAACTCGCCACTTTTCACAGCTTTAAAATCAGTCTGAAAAGACCAATAAAAAAGTGTATGAAACTGCATTGGCACTGTCAGAAATGTTTTATAGAAGCGCGTTTCTTCGATCACGAGCATTTAATAGCAATAATTTAAGTAATTTCAGTTCTTACAATAATATTTGTCAGTCAGTTTCAACAACACACCTCCTCGGTGAACTGTGGAATTCTCATAGTTGGCGTAAACGCCACGTGCACATTGCAGGTGCCACCGTTTGGTTGAAGCGTAATTTCAGAAGACGGGGACACAGTGAGAACAGGTGAATTTTGGAGAAGCATCTTTGTCGGCATAATGGCCAGGACAAAGGAAATTGTCGCCGCGCTATTATTGCTCAGTTTCACAACGCGTTCCACTGATTGACCAATACGGAGGGATCCAAAGTTAATCTTTCGATCCTCGGGATTACAAACGTCCACCTAAATTATGGAATAAAATTATGTTACGATTCACAATAGGGTATTGTATAAATGCTTAATTTAGACCATAAGTGGGGCCGTCATCTCCTGTATAACTACAATTTTGCTATTTGAATTATATTTTCATTGAAGAGAATTCTTAAAATGAAAGTGAAATCTTTCGAAAAAATTACTCGTGTAACTTTTCATTCTCAAGATATTGAAGCTTGTGATGTCTGATTCATACAGCCAGCGACAACACATTGTATCATGAGAACATGAAACTAAAGAATAATTATAAACTTGCAGAAAGACATTGTGCTATGTGACGTCACTAGCTGTGTAATAAGTTAAGAAAGAAAAGAGATTGGGCTACACTTTTTTAGATAATCCAATTTCGTTTTATGACTTTTTTCAATGAAACTATAATTTTAATCGACCAATTTTCGTTTTAAATGCATTTTAAATATATTACTAATATTATTTATACGTTGAACGCTAATTTATTTGACACTCGACATTAATTATTTTATATACTTTTTCTCACAAATGAAAAGAATGAAATTTTTTCATTTTCACAGGAAATTGTACATAAAAGCACAAGTACTACAGATGTTCTCAACACTTATAACGTGAAAAATTGCCAACTTAAATAATAAGAATATAAAAAGATACAGAAAAACAAGCACTGACACTATGAGACACATTCACTTTATCACACCTTAATCTCGGTGCCCTGTCCGAACACGTCAACAGTTATTGTTGAGAGACCGTTGATTTCGAAAGGGATAACCTCGTGGTAGTCTTTATATTCTCGTGGATAGAAGAGAATATCAACGTTTGCACTCTGACCAGGCCCTAACACTGTAGACTTGAATTTCACTTCGAGAAAGGCCGTGTTCGCGTATTTGCAAAGAACGCTGCAATTAAAAAAAGGCAAGCAGTATTTTTCAAAACTTAAATCAGCATAATGGCAGCCAAAAATTGCATTTTCTGACCCATGGAGCGCTGAAGTAGCTGGTCACAGTTAAACAAGTAATCTAATTAAAATACAGCTTGTTTCTAAACATACTGCTCGTTTTTTTACTGCATGGTTTGAATAACAATATCACTATTTAAATCTGTTGACAGTTGACAATTGGCACGCAGGACTGCATGCTTTATTCAGGGCGAATCCGGGCAAATCCAGTATCATATACGTTAACGATGATTTGTAATGTGAAAAAAGAAGTAGACAAAACGATTCAGAAACTAGATTCAGTGTAGGAGGCGATCAAATAATTCACATATGTTATAAATTATACCAAAAATCATTACCAGCCGACATTTTGAAAAATGTAATAAAAAACAAATTCCGAACATGTTAGCATTTATTGAGCACGCAGAGCAAGCTAGCTTATTCCACACCGTAAGCAATGACTTCCTTATACTCCAACAAAGTATCCGTGACTCAAAAAAGAGAAAACTGTTTAGGTAATATTAAATAATATAAATTCCTCGCAGTAAATTGATCTTGTTTACCTTATCTCTTTACTATCACTGTTCGTAATGGTCAAAGTTTTTTTCTGAGGTGCAACTCCAGCTCGGTACAAAAAGCAAGGACCAAAGTCCCATCGCTTAAACAAGAATTGTAAAGCTGGACGGAGACCTGAACCTGTGATTTCGATGACATACGTAGGACCGTTTGTAACCTGTGAAAGTGATGTGTAACTGTGATATGATTTATAAATAATAAAGCACTTTACAAATAGCTATGCCGTATGTGTTTGAAGCGCAGAAGAATTTACATAAGTAATACAGTATATTCAGTGGTCTCGCTTAGTCAAAAAAGTAAAAAATAACACTTTAATTTCAAACCAACCAACCAACCAACCAACCAACCAACCAACCAACCAACCAACCCATCAACCAACCAACCAACCAACCAACCAACCAACCAACCAACCAACCAACCAACCAACCAACAAACCAACCAACCAACCAACCAACCAACCAACCAACCAACCAACAAAAAACCCACTGACCAGTTGACCAACCGACCAACCAACTAACAAACCACAAAGCAAACCTAGAAATGATATGGAAAACAGACAGTTTCCAATTTCTAAAAAAACAGTTAGCCTAGGTATAGGCTACACACAACACAAAAAAAGAAAACAAAGAGAAAAGGTGGATAATAAGAGGTAACATTAGTAACAAAAAATACACAAAAAATATGAAAAGACAATTGAGGAGTATAGAGCACAAATCAACGTAACACAGCAGCCAAAAAGACACACATCATGGAGTAAAATCTCACCTTCAACAAAAGCGTGCAGTCGTGTAAAGTTGACTTTCCTGGAGGACAGAATGTTAACAAGCATCTTTTACGAGAATTACGTTGAACAGTTCCACTGTCAGGACTAATTGAAACAACTCGCTTGCTGGACTTGTGTTTCCACTTGCTCTTGTTTTCTAAATGCCAGTTGAAGTCAAAATTGAATTTGCCATTGTTGATGACGAACAGTTGCCTCAAGCAACGCTCATTTACTTCAACCTAAGACGGGAGACGACGGAAAGGTTTAAATTTTTTTGCACAAGATTCTTCACTGTGGTTTAAAAAGCTGCATCAAAAGGACCTTAAGAAATTTTCGTTCTGTGATAAATTCAATGTTTCATCACAATGCTATGCCCACACGTGAATAAAGTATAATGTAAACTACGTACATAAACAGGGTGACCCCAAAAAAAAACCACCGCAAACAATAGCCGTCACCTATAGTTGGAATTTAAATAGCCAAAGCAATAGTTATTTCAGAATAGTTAGTGGATAACTAAAGTTAATTACACGTAACCAGTCAACATTTTGCATGCAAGTGCGTCCGCTCTTTGTCTTGGGCATTGAAATTTTAACAATAGGAGACGGCTATTGTTTCCATTTTGGGAGACACCCTGTTTTACATATATTGCTGTTGCTAGCGCAAAAAATTTTCAGGGAATTTAGCATAACATCTAAGAGCAAAACACAAGCAGTAAAGTACCAGTGGCATAAAAGAGTCAAGCAATGAAATTTCACTATAGGTTAGTTTAAAAAATTCTGCTTTTTATTGACCCTGTAGGTATTTGAAACATATTTGATATGCAAGTGTAGACAACGAGCCTTTGAAAATGGCTTTAACTTACTTCACCAAATTGAATTCTGTTGGTACCAGATGATGTGAGTTCCACTTTACTTCCAAGAGAATCCTCACAAATCAAGGATACGCCTATTGCAAATCCTTCAGCCTTCACGTTGAGTGTCAGGGGAACAGTCTTCTTCTTCACACGACAGATTACATTGAAATTCACTTCTTTCGCAGATGACGGAGTGAAACAAAGTTTGATGGGCAGCCTTCAAGGAACAAAACGTGAAATTGCCATATTGACATCCAGTCAATTACTTTTCTTCAATAGCAATGATGAATTGGCTAACGGCAGTCAGTTGCACAACAAAGTGGCCCTACTGTATATTTCTCTATAGACTGTGTCTAAAACTTGCGGGTTGGCTTCGGTACTGTAAAGGACAGCAACATATGAAACATACAGTGGATACATTTCGCTGTCAAACTGGCTGCTGTTAGCCGTTTCATTATTCCTATTGGTCAAAAAAAGGAATTGACCGGCTGCCCCTATGGTAATCACATACGTAATAAGATACGCGTGAAAAAAAATTCAATGGAGTGGTTTTACTATAGATTCAACATACTGTGTCTAGAACAAGTGCTAATAAAAGGACAAGGAAACTCTCCACAAAAAGGATAAACAAATATCTGTAAACTGAAGCAAACTTGAAAAAACAACTGCAATGAGGGAGAACAGAAAACGAGAAAACTTGATAGAAAAGTGAAAGAAATGAATAAAACGAACAAAAAATGTGTTACAGAATGCATAAAACAGCCTTTCCTCCCAAACAGAAGCAAGTGAAGTCAATGCCAAGCGTTTTTTACTGTGAGACTTAAACGAGAACGATTCTTACAGTTGTTATAATCTACAAGAATGCACAAATGACGATATTAAAGAAACAAAGAAGGCAAAACTATTGAGGGACTAAAATGGATGCGCTTATCTGAAATCTAGATGGATATAAAAGTCACAATTCTGTATCGACTGACGACTGGTAAGTTTACTCGGGATTAAAACGCATGCCCAAGGAAACTGTTTTCGTGTTCCATAGAAAAAATTTTTCTCAGTTTACCCGACGATAATCATGAAGATGTTTATTTCAGAATGAAAGCAGTTTTACAAAAAAAGTCAGCGTGACATGAAACTACCTGCATCATGCAGCAGTTACCTCGATTTGGCCTGAATAGAGCCAGACATAGGTTCGACAAACAACTGTGCAGCATAAGCATCGGTGCGACACGAATCCTCGTCAAATGAAAAATTAAATGCCTTCTCTTCTTCATTTGCCAAGTACACAGTTTGCTGTGCTGGAAAACCTTGACAATTATAAAAAAAAAGATGTTTACATATGCATCATATTGTAGTTCATTTTGATAGAAAGTACGTGTATTCAGTAAAGGCACTAAGAGTTCTTTTAAACAGTTCTTTAAAGAACTATTGCGTGATTATTTTGACCGTATACCATGGTATTCTCTCTTTTTAAAAGCATATATGAATATCGACTTCCTCGTTTTAGCTACGTGCCTGTGACCACCTTAGATAAGTGATCTATAGAAATATGGTCTATTTTTAACAGTTTTTGTCGTTTTACCACACGACAGAGAATCAAATTCATATTCCATGAAAAGCACGTCCTTAGCAATGTTCGGGGCTTCTTTTGTGCACAAATTGCGTCGATCGTAAGAGAAATTCGCAATATTATTGTGTCGATGTTTCAGTCGTGAAGTGTCAGGACAGCTTCTAAGTTGGGATTTCTTATGCAGATCGATAAATTATACTTTATCTTAAACATAGGAGAAAGAATGAAAAGAGCGTTATAATCTATTATTTTAAGTTGAATTTGTCATGGCAACTCCAAACGACAGGACGAGAGGACATTCTGGGTCGAAGTATTTCACATTGTCTTTCAGTTCTATCCATTTGGCTTTGTAAACCAATTATTTGTTCCAAACAAAAGAAAAAATAAGGTGTGTGTTATTTGTTATATTTATACCATAAGGCACGGTGGCGCACAAAGGCAACGTCAATGTCAAATCATCACACCAAATTCAAATTCATCACACCAAATTCAAATTCATCACACAAATTCAAATTAATCACACCAAATTCAAATTAATCACACCAAATTCAAATTCATCACACCAAATTCAAATTCATCACACTAAATTGAAATTCATCACACCAAATTCAAATTATCACACTAAATTGAAATTCATCACACCAAATTGAAATTCATCACACCAAATTGAAATTCATCACACCAAATTGAAATTCATCACACCAAATTCAATTTCATCACACCAAATTCAAATTCATCACACTAAATTGAAATTCATCACACCAAATTCAAATTCATCACACTAAATTGAAATTCATCACACCAAATTGAAATTCATCACACCAATCAAATTCATCACACCAAATTCAATTTCATCACACCAAATTCAAATTCATCACACTAAATTGAAATTCATCACACCAAATTCAAATTCATCACACTAAATTGAAATTATCACACCAAATGAAATTCATCACACCAAATTGAAATTCATCACACCAAATTGAAATATCACACCAAATTGAAATTCATCACACCAAATTGAAATTCATCACACCAAATTGAAATTAATCACACTAAATTGAAATTCATCACACTAAATTGAAATTCATCACACCAAATTCATCACACCAAATTGAAATTCACACACTAAATTGCAATTCATCACACCAAATTGTCATCACACCAAATTGAAATTCATCACACCAAATTCAAATTCATCACACCAAATTCAATTTCATCACACCAAATTCAAATTCATCACACTAAATTGAAATTCATCACACCAAATTCAAATTCATCACACTAAATTGAAATTCATCACACCAAATGAAATTCATCACACCAAATTGAAATTCATCACACCAAATTGAAATTCATCACACCAAATTGAAATTCATCACACCAAATTGAAATTAATCACACTAAATTGAAATTCATCACACTAAATTGAAATTCATCACACCAAATTGCAATTCATCACACCAAATTGAAATTCATCACACTAAATTGCAATTCATCACACCAAATTGAAATTCATCACACCAAATTGAAATTCATCACACCAAATTGAAATTCATCACACTAAATTGAAATTCATCACACTAAATTGAAATTCATCACACCAAATTCAAATTCATCACACTAAATTGAAATTCATCACACTAAATTGAAATTCATCACATCAAATTCAAATTTAAATTCATCACACTAAATTCAAATTCATCACACCAAATTTAAATTCATCACACTAAATTGAAATTCATCACACCAAATTCAAATTCATCACACCAAATTCAAATTCATCACACCAAATTCAAATTCATCACGCCAAATTTAAAATTTCAATTCAGCAGGCCCATATGTGATCAGTACTTTATATTGCTATAATTTTATTGTTATTTTAAATCCCTCGTTAATTTCAAAATGGAAAATTGTCATTCTTGCGATGCTCAAGTCGCACTTCGGGATAAATATTGTAGTCAGTGCGGAGTTAAATTGTGTTGTGAGGTTGAAGCAATCAAGTACTACTTTAAACAAGGCTATAAATACGACAAGATAACAGAATTTTTGGCAAAATTTCATGACGTCCATATTTGTGTTCGAACTTTGAAGAACGGCTTGAAAACATTAGGACTCTCTCGAAAATTGAGGGGATACAATGAGTTGGAAGTAAGAGAAAGAATTATACGCGAAATTAGTAGACCAGGTTGTATGAGCGGATTTCGGGGAATGTGGCATATTATTAGCAGGGAAGGATTTATGATACCGAGGCAAAAAGTTCAATAGTTGTTAAAGGAATTAGATCCTGAGGGTTGTGAAACAAGACGAGCTCATCGTTTACGGGGGAGAGTTTATGTAAATACGGGTCCAAATTTTTGCTGGCACTTAGATTGATATGATAAACTGAAACCGTTTGGTTTCCCCATTCAGATCGTGACTAAAACACCACACGAGTACATACGAGTACATACCAGTACATACGAGTACATACAAGTACATACGAGTGACATACGACTATATAGGGTTAGGGTTAGGGTTAGGGTACGGATACGGGTATCTAACCCTAACCCTATATAGTCGTATGTCAGTCGTATGTACTCGTATGTCACTCGTATGTACTCGTATGTCAGTCGTATGTACTTGTATGTACTCGTATTTACTCGTATGTACTCATATGTACTCGTGTGGTGTTTTAGTCACTATCTCCCATTCATGGGTGTATCTACGGTTTTTGTTTTGCAGCTATTTTTTCTTTGATACAGGACTACACATTTTACCTATTTAATAAACCTCAACGCAAATTGTGTTGTTTTGATTGTCATGTTAATTTGCTATCAAATAAAATGAGCTAATGCTACATTTTAGCTTGCCATAGAAAGTTTTGAAACAAAGAAGAATGGAGGTGAAAATCATTGACAAAACACCAAATATAAACCATCAAATATAAGAATCATAAGCGACGGCACTGAATTGTAAAAGCAATAAGCACTAGAGTCAAGCTAACATCGGGATTCAATAATCAAACAAAATGCATAACTGTAAGGTTACCTTTGGATAAACATGCTTGAACTTGCATGAAGCAAAATTTTAGCTTCAGAAGCGCGCGTCTGTAGCTAAGAAAGTTACGGATTTTAGCTTATTGTCTTAAATGAATTTTCTTTACACAATGCGTGGAACGACTGGGACTAGTTTTTCTGGCTTAATATTTTTGCGGGAAAAAGCCTTCCTGTTGTATTCACAGCTCAATGTCTTAAACAGCATCATACGACTTGCTTCCGAAAGTAAGTAGTTCAAATATGATACTTTAGCGATGACAACTGAAGCGCAATTTTCATACAAATTAACTATTTTAGTGCAAAATGAAAGTATGTTCTCCGCATACCTATATTTTTCACTAAAATTCAAACACAACACCTTAGGTTTCATTAAAATCTTACCTACAAGTACTTCTCCAAAATTAAAGTGAGAACGGTCCAGCGATACATTTGGTTCAGTCGTATCACCGACTAAAAGAAAAGGTAGCGAAATGTTGTGTTCCTGAATGAAGAAACGCCAGAAAGATTCCGTAAGGTCGAGATTATTTGAGATGTACTCGAATCTCATCAAAGTCTTCTTGCCGCTCTCGATGAAACCTGCTTTAGGATGACAAGTGAAGTTTACCGACGTTGCACGAGGGTCAGGCGGGTCTTCTCGAGTCCAGGTGAAGTTGAGATCGGCATCTGTAGGATTGACGATGAAAAATTCCCTGCAGTATGGAAAAATAGTGAAAATGATAACCTTTCTTTAAGTATTGTAGTATTGTGAAATGGACAGATGTTGATTAAGTAACACGCTCAATTCTGAGCGAATTTCTTCTAAAACGATGAAAAGCCTTGTTTACAAAAACGAACATGGCAATTTCAAGGCAACAACAATTTGTTAAAACTTGTAAGAAGTGTGAGCTGACTTTATCTTTCGAATTTCCAGAAACAAGTTTGCGGGTTTTGATTCTTGATAACTTAACATTAACCGTTAATGTTTTTCTATTGTGTATTTGTTTTTAATAAAAACGATATTTCCAGTTCTTCTTTTAGATTGTACCTAAACTATTGCTATCAAAAAAAATTTCCCGGCCATAGAAAGATGAAGTAATAAATTTATCATTTGAATTAAGAAAAACAAGGGTAATTTTAATTGCGACAGTGAAGAGACAAGCAAAATGAAATAAAATACTCGCAACTGGAATCAACAATAAGATTGTAGCCATTTAAATGAATATAAGATCATACCCTCTAAGAACAACTATAAGATCATAGCCACTAAGATCAACTATAAGATCATAGCCACTAAGATCAACTATAACATCATAGCCACTAAGATCAACTATAACATCATAGCCACTAAGATCAACTATAACATCATAGCCATTAAGATCAACTATAACATCATAGCAACTCAGGACAAAGGGCGACAATGTTTTATTTACTTGGAACTCGATGACAATTCCTCACCATGGAGAATGGTGAGGAATTTTCTTCTAAGTCCCAACACGAGTTCCAAGGTTGGTTCCCAAAACCCTTTGGCGTACAGTTTAATTCTCAAATCTAAACTAAAATCACAAACCTTACGACTTTAACTTTAACTCCACATGACTGAAACTCGACGACCTTTGTGTTTGGATTAAGCGTGGTTCCTGGAGGAGCCCCACCTGGGCCAGGCAACTCGGGGTTTCTACGGCCACCGGATATGTAGTCTGACTCTTCAAGTTCAAAATGACAGTACGGTAAGAGACTCCGTCCTCTTAACTTCACTTCAGGTGGAATGGCGTCGGGATGGAGATTCGGGATTCTAAAGTTGTAAAAATGTAGGTTAACTTTGACGCAGAAGGTATCACATTCACTGGACAGTATGTAAAGTATTTCATTCACTAAACTATATGTAAAGTATTACATGAAGTAATATTTTCCCTTATACGAAACTGAAGCCACGTATTTTTGTGTTGATAGCAAATAAAATTTCCAGGTGAATAAGCAAACATTTTCCTTGAAGGGAGACGGGAGCTTTTATGAAAAACGAGCCACACTTACGTGAATTTCAATATACCAGAAAACTCGGAGATTTCAAAGGGCGAAAACTTGACACTAATTTCAACAGAATCACCAGGAACCAGACGGCCCTCACTTGGCTCCACCGTAAATGGAACACTGCCACCCAATAGAAAGTTGCTCATACTGCCGGTTTCGAAAACGACAGTCATTGCGGTTGCTGGTCGAGAGCTCGGCATAGTTGCCACCTAGAAAAATACAATCACGTATTGTGTTATAAGTGTCCCTTGCTCTAAATATTCTCTCTATACACATCTGCAATTGATCAATTCTACGATTGTCTCGCTCATAAACATTAGATGATAAAAAAATAAGAAAATCTTTTAAGTGAATGTAGTAGCTACAATTTTTTTATCGCCATGGAAAAAGAGATTTCCTTAACTGTAATGAACTTTCTTTTAACTTTCTTTTAACAATGTTTGCATTCTCTGGAACTGTTGAAGTTTTGTGATACGTAGAATAAATAATTTATGTTCTGTCGACTCCTATTTACATATGTTAAAATCATGTTTCATTTGGTATCAACGCTACATTTCTGCTCATGTTTTGAAAAAGATCGCATTGTTACAAAACTGATCACGGACCTACTAACAAGCAAATGTATTCAATATTGGCAAAGATAAATGCAAGCAACGGATATGTAAATTGATAAAGACTGACTGACGATAAATGATCTAATGTACGTATCACAAAAACCTTAAAAAAGCATGTAAACATTATTGATAAAGTAAAAATACAGTAAAGTTTTACGAGATGTTTCAGTCAAAATAAAAGAAATTCCGTATTACAGAAACTTTAAAAAATATAGCTTTCTAGCTCCCAAAACACAAGATAACGCCAACCTGAGGTACAGCAGACATTCGACTTATTGTTCCGTTCGGTGGATCATCGCCTACGATCGGAGTAGCCTCGTCGTTTGTCATCACCGTCACCGAGTAGTCAAGAGTGACTGCAGACGTATTTGAAAGACTGACACTGAAACGAAGAAGGAATATATTGTCACAACGATGAAAAGGGCTTTATGGCAGGAAAAAGAAAAAGTGAATATTTCCAATCCCTCGACTTTGTTGTTAGCTAATTTCTATAGTTATTTGACAGTGTTTTAAACTATATACTGACTAAATTTTATGTCTCTCTAACAATGAGCATCAGTAATAACACATTCTTCAAAATTCACTTTTTTCGTAGCCATCTACGAAAATGGATTGTCAAAAAGTGTTGGGTAAATTATACAGATGAAAAAGACTAAAAATCACGAATCCTCCTGAAAAACTGCACGAAATGGGTGAACAGTAATCAAACACCAAAGTTTTTAATTGTATTTTAAGCATTCTACAGCTAAAGATCACTTCTTAAAGTCTGCACATTGTGCTTCAAAAATCTCGACAAATAAAAATAACTTTTTCTAATCATTTTTATTGCTAAACTTCCATCGGAGCTGAAAGAAAGCATCGAAACAAAAATTGCGAAATTCGTAAAGTAAATCCTACCTCGCAAAATATGCAATCTGCCGCATATGCAATCTAGCAAAGCAAAAATCTATGCACTGACAAAATGTAAAATGAAATAGTACTTTACTTGTAAACTCTAGTTTGGAACATAAGAGTGTCTTTGAAGTGGATCAAACTGACAGGACAATCGCAAGAAGCGTAGTCAACGGTTGCACTAACACTAAGTGACAGTGTTTTCGGATGATCGTCTATGACGATGTGCGCGGGCTCGGGTTCTATTTCATAGATTTTCTTCTTTGTTCCTCTATCTAAAACGATTTTCTGGTCGGCAGACAGAAAACCTTCCTCTCTTGATGTGCTACGCCTTTCAACCTCAACCCATTTAACGATTTTCATACGGTCATCCCAGTCGACTGCCTAAAATATGGAATGGAAATCAAGCACCGCTCCCACTGAAGCGCCACACTCAGAATCCAGAAAAGTTATTCAGCGCCGCTCCCAGTTAACGCTGCATTATAGAGTAACTTTAGAGCGGCGCTTATAAGCGCTTAATACAGGTTATTAAGTTGATTATACTATATTATATCATGTGAATATGTTTTGATAGATTCATTTAATTTTTTTTCGGGGGGGGGGAATAAAAATATTTGCTGTGTACCTTTAGCTGAAAATTATTTAATAAGAGCCGCTCCCGGATAAAGAATCAGAAAAAATTAATAAAGAATCTCGGCGCTAAAGAGAGCAATTACGGTATGTACCTAAAGAATGAGTATGAGAGTCATGCTTTGGGTGAATGATGTTTATATTTTTATAGCAGGACTTTTGTGTGAAGAGTGCGATTATCAAAGTTAAACGACTAATCTAAAAGTACGATATAATAATTCAATGTTCATCAAAGTTTTCATTTTCATCTGGTTAAGTTGCACGATTCTGTCTCGTTCATTTAATTCACTGCATGACCATTTAGTGAAAAATCTTTTCTGAAGTTACGGGCAGCCAATGCTCTTAAAGAATAGGAATTTTATTATTGCCTCGATATTATCATTTCATTTACACTGTGCTCCTAATATGCAAAAGCCACCATTTTAGAGGTCTCCTAAAATGGCCAGCAAAGCGCGTAAAGCATTAGGTCAACGCTCACTTTTTAAAGAAAACGAGGTGATTTTAAGTTGTTGAAATACAAGCAATTAAAAACATTCTTCAATTTAGAATGCACGCAAGAAATTACCTGTTACTGAAAAAACATGGGTTCGAAAATAACCTTTAAGATGTTCATTGCCTTCATTAAAAATTCGGTTAAGGTTACAACTGGAGCACATATTTACTTCATCAAATTTATGGCCTCATATTCAGACCCATACGTTCATACACATTTTTTTTATGCTAGCTTTGCAGGAGTTGTTGCCTTAATTTTCATGTCCTTATAATTAAGTCAGTAAAGTGTCATTACAAAGGAATGAAACTATGGCAAAACCTGGGTCATTATGATGTCGTAATCTATAGAGGGAACTTAAACCAGAGAGTGATCCACGATAGTTTTGTAGGAGGGTGGGGTGGTGCTCTGGCTTGGAGTAGATTTAGGTGGCTACGTGTTGTAACGGCGTGTCAAACTTGTTCAATTCTGCTACGTTTTCATTATGATTGTGAGATTTTTGGAGGCGTGCTCCATTTTATACTAATCAACATTGCTTTTGCTTTCTTGTTTGGTATATAAGCAAGTTGTAGAGAATTAGCAACCTTTGTGCACACCAAGTAACCAAGCCTTGTAAGGGTACGCAATCCTAACCTCCGACTTAATCTCGTCAATCAACAAACCTTTCTTTCATTTTCAGGCAATTTTATTTTCGTTACTTTGCAAAGGACAGGCTGGCTCTCTATCTTGATGGGTTTATGAGACACAAAGAACGCCGTTACATCCTTGGCACAGTTGGGAAGAAGATGACCGGTGCAAGGCGAGAATGTAATTCCTTCTGGAGTTGACCAGTTGAATCTTACAGCATCATGTTTTAAGTGATTTGTAAGTGTAAATGACAATTTCTTTGCAATGCCAACAGCGCAATCGCCAAACGATAATTGGTTGGCAACTGAAAAAAAGTTTTTCAAATACTGTAAGTTCAGGCAAAATTTACAATCACAATTACCATACAAGATAAAAAAATTTACATTCACAATTGCCCGTGGTTGATTTAAGAGTGAGTGCCAACGATGCATTGCGCATACAATCAGCCATTTTTAAAGCACAAATTAACTGGCAAGGTATTTGCCATTTAATCTTTTGTAATCGCTACAATCATTGCTGAATTGTTCATTTTTTGAGCATTAATCGTCTATATACGTAATTCCTTTTTGTTTTAATTTTTTTTGTGAAAAATGAAATGCGAAATAATCAGAATAGGGAAAATACAGTGAGCCTCTACATGTATGATGAAATTGCCAGAAAAGTTAGCTTCGTCAAGGCCTCGCAAATGTCATTCAAAACAATTTCGCTCAATTGTTCTTTGTTTGCAATATACGAGAATTAGAATATTTTTTACATTACAAGATCTATCAAAGACGTCGGGAAGCAATTTTAGTGATACGTGCTTCCATTGCATTTTTTATTATTGTTACTTTCACTTTTACAACATATTGATATTAATTATGATAATATTTATATTAATTTTTCATAGTCTAAAACACGGCCGGAAGAGTCTAAAACACGGCCGTCTAAAATTCAACCATTTTCAATTTATTTACCAGGTTCAATAAACGTTACCGTGTTTAACTAATCGCAAAACAATGAATAAGTAATATCTTTGAAATAAAAAACAAACTTGTTTATAAACTGTTTATTGAACGAAAAGTTGTTTTGAATTAAAATGCGGTCAAAGAGCTTGGCATTCTTCTAGGTATAAAAATGTTATTGACAGGCGGCCATCATGTAATGACATTCACAATAAGATATGCTACACAAAAAAATTAATAAACTGGCCCATCAGCTATTTCCTAAGAAAGTGACTTCAACACACATACATACCATTTCTATCAATGACGCTCTCCGTTAAATCGTTTGCTCCATATCCATTGACGATATTATCAACACTAACATCTTCCTTATAACCTTCACCCAACAACTGTAACACACTTTCTTCGTACGGGTTATTGCGTACAGAGAATCGAATTTCCGCGATAACTTTGTCGGTTAAAGTAGGTTTACACTGCACAGCAAACTCGATACATTTAGATACTTTAAGTGGAAAGAGAAAATCTTGTGGAACAATTTCACCATGAGACAAGGTCTCATCATCATCTTCGGATGAAAAATTACGGCAAGTAATGGCAAAAGACTTTTCAGGATCGGTAAGAGTCATTTTTACTTCGGCGTCCAAGTTTCCGTCGTTAGTAAGAACTAAAGGTAAAATCTGCACCATGCCCATCAAAAGGGGCTTGAAGAGCATGATCAGGTTGCCCGACTTGTTGCGGGTGGCTGGTCGAAGAATGCTCACACGTGGAAGATTGCCATCGCCTTGAATATCAAAGTTGAGACTTGGGTACCTGGAAACAACTCCCGTTATACCATCGACGGATGCTTCAAATACAGCGTGGTACACCTGCATGGCAGGTGGTGCAAACGACACGGTGACGTAGACGTAACCATAACGTCCAATGGAGGCGCGACTTGGCGTCACCTCGAAGATGTCATGCCATTTTGATGAAGACTTGCTGTTTGAGGCGCCTTTACCGTGATCACCACGTCACATGATATCTACATTTCAATATAAGAAATACTGTCTTTACTCTACTGCCTTAAAGTAAGTTAACTTTAAAATGCTATAATTATACATGAATGATGCAATCTCGAATGTGAATGACAGAGACCTACGGATTATTCACAAAGTCTTCCAACCAAATTGTCCGTAGGTGACGCAATATTTTTATGTAATTATTGAAAACGCAAAAAGTACGACGGCGGAATCTTGCTCGGGATTCGCAAGCGTATCACAAGCGCATTAGGCTGCAATTTTTGACTATAAAACAGGACGCAAAAAAAACAACAAAAAGAGCTACACTGTCCGCTAAAGCGCTTTAAGGTTGGGTGAATGTTCATATATATACAACACTACTCGACAATTATCAATCTTCCACTGTCCTGGAATTCTTGCCGTTTCCAATATGTTCGGCTACAAACGTTGTTATTACTAGTATTGTAGGATGATGTTTCCAGTTGCATTTTATGATATCTTTATTTCAAATTTTTAAATCGACATGGAAATGGTTTATTTTTTAAATGAAAAAAAAAACAACAACGGCAAGAAACCAACCTTGTTGGGATTTGTAATTTTAAATCGCGCATAACTTTTCCTACCGACGATCGAGTTAAAAAACATAAACTTGTTTTCTTGCTCGCCGTAAACACCTGTACCGCTGTCCAGCTGGGCCGAATGATACTGGAAACGACCTAGACTCTGCACGACGCGATGTTCTTCGAAAATTGAACCAATGAATTTCGGGCTAATCACACTTATACCGGGAATGGCTGCCTCACCAATCAACTTGTATGGTATGCCATGTGGATGATCATTTGGGGAGCGATCGCTGATATCAATGGCTAGGCACTAACGGGAAAGAATAGAATGGAGTAACGTTAAAATGTCAGTGAGTATGTAAAAAATTGTAGTTTGAAGACTCGTTACACTAAAACACTGTTCTCTTGTTGCTAAACATTTCTGCAGTGTCGTTCCTATACATCATTGTAGCCTCGTTACTGTACATAACAGAAGTCGCGTTCCTATACAGCACTGTAGTCTCACTCCTAGAGGGCACTGTACTACTGTACTCTCTTTTCCAGACAAAAATTGTAGTCTCGTTCCTGTTCAGTGTTTACAAATTTAAAAATAGCAGTATTTAGAACCTGTGGCTACCTAAGCTACCACATCATGTATATCAAAAGATGACTATGGCATACAAAGAACTTTGTGTTCTTTGTTCTACATAACAGAACGTATGACTAGGCTAACCTCTTCAGAGTATCCAGGATTTTCACCCAACATATCAACGGAGATTTGAATGCATCCTGAGGGTGGTACGACGCCCATTGCAGGATACAAAGTGAACATGCCAATCTGCTGTCGGACGTTAGCCGCACCGCCTCCAAAAAATTCGCTCCTGGAAAGCAAAAGCTGTGGATTAAATTGATGATTCTTGTTTCGGTTGGAAGAATTCAAAAGAAAGTGTGATCTTTGTAGCACTAGATTAATTAGTGATTTAAAAAAAGAATTCTTTTTAGCATAAACATGTTTCGACTTAACATTAAAACATCTTCAATATGAATGAAGTAGAATATTTACAATACTTAGATTAATATTTTTTATTACACGTTTAGTCGCACTTTCTCCTTTTACTAATTATTATTAATGGAATGCGTCACTTACGGCAAAATGGCGCGCTTTGATTGGTTCAGAAACATTTTCGCCCGTGCATTATTTTGCCGTAATGGACAACGGGCCAAAACGCGCAACTTTATAATAAAATGTAAACAAACTTCGTAAAGCAAAAACCAAAACGGCCAAAAAAAGAAACAAAAACCATTGACAAATGGAGTCGAAAGAAAAACACACGGAAAACAGTTTAACTTTCCAAACAATACAATCTGAAACGATTCATTTTTTAATAATGAAAACAAGGAAGATGAAATCCAAAACAGCAAGGACGAGAAAGAAATCAAGCTTTGTTTCAGGTAAAATAATGCCCTATAATAGACCGTTTATTAACCTCGCTTTCTCTGTCTTTACTAAGTAATAATTCACCGACGTTTTTTTGTACAAACCTTGCCCTACGACATTGCTCAACACAAAAAAAACTTCGGTCCGATATTTCTACGTAAAGATCTTAACCTCGTTTGAAAAGGGCAAATTAATTCATGTGTATAATATATCCAGCTTTAAATATAGTACTTTAAATGTTTTAGCTAATTCAATCTCATACTGAAGATGACTTAATGTTAAGTACAAACATGTTTATGTTAATAAATTTTGTTGTAAATTTTGAAAACACATTAAAACGCGTGCAGTGATTGGTCAATAGCCGTGTTCGCATTAGCCTGTGCAAGCAGATCTGAGCTCGACCAATCAAATCAATCAATCAATCGATCGATCAAAGACAATTAGCAAATCAATCATCAATACATTTTAGAGGAAAATTAAAACGTTCGTTTGCAATTTGTCTGTTTCTCATTATTGTTATTTTATATAAAAAGTTTTTCGTGCTAGCATGCAAACCTCTAAGACGTTTGTTATAACTCTCGAGCAGGTGCAACCTTCGACCTTCGGTCTTGAGCTTGCACACTGATCAGCTCTCAGGGTCTCCCGAAGGTCTCTTCGCTTTGCACAAGCCTGTGCAAACAGAATAAACATCTTTTATAGCTTAAGTTAACCCTTTGTCGCGCGAGCCAGTTTTTCATTTAAGTTGGATGCAATTTTTATTGCGTTTACAATTCTGCACATAGCGTAACAAAGTGTAAAAGTAACCATATCTGTGTCAGGGAAATAACTTCTTCAGATACTTAAATCGATTTTAAAACCTATGTAGGTCACTTGCGGTGAGGAGTCTTCGAGGAGACTACTTTTTCGTCCGATGAAATATGTCGCAAATGTTGTTTGTCGATTGAACTATCTAAATACGTCAATTTCCCTACCCTGATATATGTAGGCACTTTAAGATTTCGGCTAAATGTCAAGTCGCGGTTATCACCTAGAGCAAGATATTACAATACAATAAAGCTATGTAAAAGACATACATTCTATTCTCACCCTTTTACTGAATCCGCTCGTCTAGGTTTGGCACCAGTTCCGAGGCTCACAGAGCCATATTGTACTTGATTGGGCTGCTGCGATCGATTTGAACCAGAGCCATCTCGCTTTGCAATGTGACCAGTGGGTTTTGCACGCGTTAACCCGTTGACCATTTTCATGATGGTATATTTGAAATCAAACACGCCCTTGTTCTCGATACTGAACGTGCGCGTCTTCTTTGTGTTAACGAGAGCCGCACCAAAGTTGATGTCACTGACCGGATATATGTAATACTTACTATGCAAAGACCGAGCACTGACTTTAACTGGAATGCTAGCAATCACTTCGCCACCATCGCCAATGTGAGGCTCGATGATCTTGTTTCACAAAAAGAAGCAAAAAAATTATTAATGGTAGAAATATTGGTACCTTTAAATACTTCAAAATTTGTTATAGATGTGTTCATTGCTGTCCAACTAAATGAAAATAGTCTGTGAATCCCACGAGAACTTCATCCAAGTTAACGAAAGAATATTTTATCCAACTCGGCTTTAATATATGGGCTTTAAGTATTCTTTCAAACACTTTATTTTTATAGATAGCAACGTTTCGATATTATCATAATCATTAGAATCCTATTGTGGCAGTCATTTCAATTAGAATTCAATTATTGCAATCACTTCAATAAGAACTGAATTGTTGAAATCATTTCAATTAACATTAAATTGTTACAATCACTTCAATGCCACTAAACCGAACAAAACTCAAAGGAGACAAAAAAAATCTGAACTAGAAACTTGTGTTTAAAATGCTGTAAACAAACTAGTACTGCATTCATTATTGTTCATAGATTTAAAATTCATCGTCTGTTTTGGCCGTACAAAATTCCTTTTGCAAATTTGTAACTTTGCAAACAATAACTGTTCTCAAATTGTCTTCATAGCCTATTATTGGTTATAATTTTCCAATGATAAAATTATAATTTGAAAGTTGTACTTGATTTTGATGTACGCATACAGGGAGTAAGGAAGGTTATGATCTATAAGCACTCTGTTGAGCTACCAAGCCCACAGGTTTGGTAGACGAGTCCATATTCTTATAAACTGTATGGAAGGGACATTCTCGCCACGATATTTCGGAATAAACTCGAAACACGGTGCCATCAAGAAACAGCTGTCGTGGTGAAAATATCTCGTTCAGATACAGTTTAAAAGAGTACTTAAACGTACATGTAAGTATTTGTGAGAAATATTTGATATTAATTAATAGCAGCCAAAGCTTTGAACAAATGTAGTTCCATGCATGAAAAATCCCTGTGCAAGGTTTTGGACTATAATAATCTAAATGGAAGTTAAGAAAACAAGCCGTTTCTTGGTTCGAGTCGATTTATGACGTTATGATTACAAGCGACCATCAAAGCGTGCAACAGTTGGTGCATTTTGGTCCAAGAACTTTGTACAGAGAATTTTCTTTTATGGAGCTTCATTGGTGCAAAGTTTTTGCCTGCTAGTTTACGTAAACGATTTTCCAAAAATGCTCTAATATGCGTTAAAGCATCCGCTTTTAAACTTATTTTACACCTACCGTAAGCAATTATTCACAAAGAAATAAATTCAATTATAGAAAATAAAGCAATTGAATTCAAAATAAAACGATTAATATCAAAATAATTTTAGAAAAAAACTATCGGTTTTGAATTTCTAAAGAATATATATTTATCAATGGACTTGCCTCAAAGGCTCTTAAAAATGTAAATACATCAATTTGTTTTGACGTACGCTTGATCCGCCAATGACACGAATGTACATTTTTTTAGTACACTGGTGTAACTTGCAGGTGCGAATGAAGAACGTTAGAAGGGGTGAGTAAATATTTGAATATCCAGCTCTGCTTGAATGACTTGGTTGTTAGCGATATTAACTTCAAAAGACATCAGCAACGCATGGGCTAAAAATATAAATATTCACTCCCTCCCCAAAATTAGCGTTCTAGTTTCACCCCTGGTCACTAGTAGTGTTTATCATAGTTTATTTATTAAGAAATACAACACTCGTGTAAATCGTGCAAGGAAAAATAACTAAATCATTTTCCCATTACCTGACACTTTAACAAAGTTTCGTCTTTAAACGAGATCTCGGTCCTTGAACGAAATACAACGGACACTTGTGTCGGTCTCTCTGTAGATATGAGAACGCCTTTCTGCGGCATGATTGTCAGTAAGTCTTTAACATTAGCAAACTTGGTGGTATCATAAACAAAATTGTAGCTGATCTCATAACGACCTTTGTTCTTAAGAGACATGGTTTGCCTGCTGTCGTCAAAACCTTTAACACCTGAAATCTAATCCGCCGTCGGCTCCTGTCAAAAAGGACGGTAAAGAATTGTCTCTGTAAGAGCTGGTTCAGTGGTCAATTGCACGCCTAATACTACATAGAAACGTGAAAATGCAGCATTTGGAGAAAGGTGACATTTCGATAGGAATGGCAAACAAATTGTCTTGATAACTGTCTCCAAGTACTGGTCTTAGAGAAGTATTTTGAACACAAGAAAAAAAGTGACCACAATTTATTTGATATTTAGCAAATATTGACAACAGCCTGAAGTAAAGCCTGCGTTGAATGCTTGGTAGAAGATGTGAATAAATGAGATGAAAGCGTGCAATAAAACAACGATTAATAAAAAATAGTAAACAACATGAAACCATATGAGATCCGCTGAGCTACACTTATAACTGGAAGGCTACCTTACTATAAACATGTCTGTATTTGTATTAAGCTAAATTTCACCCAGAGACACGCGTGAGTGTTCTCGCATGCTAACTTATCATCTTAAATGATCTTCCTTTAGGCCGTGCGTGGCAAGATTGGGAACTAGTTAAATTGCCAGCTTCAAATTTTGGCTAGAAGTCGCCTTCAAGTTACATTCAGTTGAACGATTAGGTCTAATGCAGCTTGGAATAACTCAACAACAGAACAAAATTCCTCTTGGTCATAATTTTGAAAGGGTTCGTACATTGCTTAAGTAATAAAATTCAGGCATTTTTTAAGGACTTTCATAAATACATTGAATTGCAAACAAAGCACAACTAAAGTAAAAAAATCTTTAAAACATTATCTACATTAAAACAAAAGAACTTTTTGAAATGATTCGAGAGCAATTGGTGGGTTTTCATATGATTTGAAAGCTGCCATGTTGGTTCAGGTTACCTCAAAGTTCTCGCATTAATCTTTTAGCGCACGAGTTGTTTTTCCGTGCAGTAACAAGTCAATGTACAATTTCAACCCCACTTTTGAAAAGAATGTAGTGGGATGACATGTTTTACAAACTCTACCACGAAAATTTAAATTCACGCAGTTTCGGGCGAATTTAAACAAATTCAAGTACTTCTAAGGCTTTGAATTGTCCAATCTAAATTCAAGAACATTCAAGTTTTGTGCGAACCCAGTTTCAACTAAATAATACATAACACTGATTTATTTCACCTTTTGGAAAACTAATATCCATTGCTACATCGTAGGCTTCGCCAGTTACTTGAATGTTCTCTGCCTGGACTAAGCCCATAATCTGCTCGACATCTGATACCTAAAGGAATATAATTAATCTTGTATTGGTGAAGAGAACACGCTATGACAAAGTTTATAGAAAGTTTATCATGAAGTTTTTCTGAGAGTAAAATAACATATTATATGGTGAAGACGTATTAAAGTGCTAGTAAAATGAAGTTTTGCTTTTAAAATCATATTTTCATCGAAGAGAACTCTTAAAATGACAGTAGACGTCCTGAGAGAGTCTGGCCATATCTCTTTCCGTTCTCAATAGCTTGAAATTTTGTGACGTCGGATTTATACAGTTCTTTGCACTAATTCAATTAGGAATTTACTAAAACATCAAGAAATGTCCTGAAACAAATTAATTGACTGCAAAACAAGTAGATTTAGAAGTTCCTTTTCTTTTCATGCATCATAGCTTATAACAATTTATTAAAGCAGCTAGTATTAAGCTATTATTTATAGAATATGCATGTCTAAATCCTTTTTCTAACAATTTAAATAATTTTCATGTAATATAATTTACACTAACTATATATCCAAATTATATTACCTATTGTATGTTTTTATGTTATTAATTCCGCATATTTCAGTCTTTTCAGCTGCCATTAAGATAAATGTAATCTTTATAAAATTGGAAAGGGGGGGCGCACATATCTATATATTCAAGTTATATACCTTAATGACAATTGATTTCAATACATAGTAATGCAGTAGAACAAGCAAATTAGAATATTACCCCCCCTGAAAATATCAATCTGGCACCTTTCTCGTCAATCGTGTCATGTATGTATAGACACGCCAAATGAAGCTTACCTCCAATCTGATGACTTTCTTTACAGTAACAGGTCGAGCAGCTCGGAAATGGACCTGTAGACCGTATTCTGAACGGGGTTCAATGATACCGTGATCAGTCACTACTGAAAAGTCATCTCCGAGATTCTCCATGCCACTCAAGCGCCATTGCACTGGTAGTAGTGTGCTGTTGCGAAGAAACACAGTCTTCGTATCCTTCCTAAAACATTGACATAAAAAATTGATACAGTCTTTATGTCCTTCCTAAAACATTGACCAATAATAAACTCCAGTTTGGTTTTCCTTCCTACAGCTTTGTGAAATTCACTTCCGTGCAAAAATAATAAGGGCTAAAAAAGTTAAGGTCATAACAGGTAGGAAAAGCAGATAATTTCAGGGCAGGGGCTGCAATGTTTGAAATTTATGAGTCGATTGCACGGATAGCCTAAAACAAAGGATGAAAGACATGTTCCGATGCATACCTATGAAGAAGGACGCGATCAAATGGGAGTTGTTTTCGGTCCAACTCAAGTTCCGGTCTCACGCCATTACAACTGATCTTGAAAAGTATGGGTTCGGGATTTTCTCGGACACAACACACCAACACATCTTCAAATGTTCCCGATGTCTTGGGGTATGCCCACAAGGTGAGTGTCTGGAGCAAAACATACGTTTAATTAGATGGAAAAAAAGGATTGAAACGTACTAATAAAGGGTGTTAGAAAGTCGTAAACGTGAACATATCTGACAACTGCGCAAACGCTGAACTCAAAATAACGTCCGGTACCCGGTCAACGGACAATAACCGTTCAAAAATGCCTATTATGACCGGTAATGTAACAGACTTGGTAATTTTTACTACCAAATCCGCACTAGTGAGCTTAGACAGCCCCACATGATTAAACAATTGCAACATTCGGAGCAGGGAAGAGAGGGGTGGGGGGTAGGCATTCTGTACGGATCAAGGCATTTTTGATAATAAATTATTCATGTATGATCACAGTGATGATCGGCCAATTTTTTTATCTCATCCGTAATTTTGACTGGACACAATTCTAGGTCAATTATTATTATTCGGTTTTCTTTTGAAAAATTGGACGTCACTTTTTCAACGCGATAACCGTGTTCGCTTTTGTAAGTATTAGCCAAGTGAACTTGGATCGAAGGCTTGGATTCGGTTTTCATGAAGTGTTCTGATTACATTGTTTGGCTAATGCATCGACAAATCTATACAAGCGAGACGAATTAACTTGTAGTGTAAAAAACCAGTTTCGGCAAGTACTAAATACATATAAAAATTATTAGTATGAACTATTATAACACAAAAACAATAAAATGCACGGGATAATTGTTCTATACAATAGTTTGCATCTAAACCCATCTGAGCTCAATCAATAAAATCAATCAAATAGAATTCGCAAATCAATCATGAATACATAAAAATGAAATATGAAAACATTTGTTTTAAATTTAAGTTTCCCATTATTGTTATTTAATAAAAGAAATGTTTTGCGTGTTCACAGTGGCTTTTACGGGGACGTTTGTGAGCACTCTCGACCTTTGGTCTCGGGCTTGCACTGATCAGCTCTCAAGTTCTCCAAAAGGTCTCCACGATTCGGGTAAGCCTGTGCAAAAACAGTAAACATCTTTATTTCTTAAATCTAAAATATTCCTCACCTCACTAGATCCACTGGCTAAACTCATGTGTGATGGATCCAACAAAAAAGTCGTGCCATTGTTGTCATGTTGAAAACAAAAAGAGACCTCGGCAGCAAGCGGTGACGAGTTCGATATGGTTATGGTCTCCATGTTCTCGGGGTATTTACCTTCCTTGAACTTTTCCCGGGTTTTCCCACACAGCAACGGACCAAATTCGTAGGTCTCGTGACTAAAGACGTATTTCTTCTGAATGATTTCTTCATGCTTCTTAATCTTTCTGCGATTCGGAAACACGATCCTTGGCTCTCGACTGATAGATGGAAACGCACATACGCCGCGACAAAAGATCTGGTAGCGACGACGTGTGCCCACGATTTCAAAGTTCAGCGTTTGGTCAAATTGCCCCAAATCTTCGGACTTAAATCTTATCCGAAGTATGCACGAGCCACTCGCAGGGATAACCCAACGATGCATGTGGTGCATAGCACTGGCGTTAGAAACACCATCTCCACTAAAATGAATTAAATTTTTGTCATTTCATAAATAATTATTATCAATTTTTACTATGTAGCTACTACAGCTTACTCTCCACAGCTTTAGTAAAACTAAAAATGATATCAAATGGTAAAGGGTCTACTGAACATCATTTTGAACTATTTTATTTGGATCACTAGCTAAATTATGTCGTTGACAAATAGTTAAATAGTAAAATCATACAACAATAATTCTTCCCTATATATTTAGAGAAGTAAAGTGTTATACAGGCTGCCCCCCCCGCCACAAAAAAGAGCCCGCATGAATTATTTATCCACTGAAATTATTGTGCCCTAATAACGTAATTAGCATTTACAGCAGTTCTCTCCCGGACAGTTTGTTCCTTTCATAAAGTTTAATTTTTAAATGACATATTTAAACAAAAAATTGAGGACCAGACAAAAATAACGAATGACTATTGGATTTGGCAAATACAGATATTAAATCAACTCCAACCAAGCTCAAATTACAGAGTCCCTGTTTATCAATGGCGTGCTGGGAACAACTTCTATTGGGGACGGGGGGGGGCTCATCACTGAAAACACGCCTTAAGAATGAAGAGTGAAATAATATTAACGGCATGATTTTAAATGCGTTGTTCCAACACAAATTCAAAATTTGATGCCGTAATTCATTTCAGCGCCATCCAAAATCAACAGCTTCGGAGGCCACGGCTCCTTTGCCTGCCTCTGTTCATACAATCATAACGTATGAAAGATGAGAAAACACATGAAAAAAAATATTGGCCAAGATGAAGCCAGAATAGCCATTTTTCTCCTTGAAAATTTTACTGGAACTCCCGCAAGCTCAAAAGACACAGCTACAATTAACACGCAGACAGAAAGCAGTGTTTACATAAAGAAACTTCTCGGGATGACGTTTGCGTCACAAATGGTAGTTTGGCTGGAACCCAGTTCTTTTGACCGGGACTGTACAAGTTCCCAACAACAGTAAATTAGCGATAAATTAGCGATATCAACAATGAGGAAAACAGACCTTAGCTATATCATTAACAGAGGTTCTTTTGTTCTTACTTTAAATTCTACTCGCTAAATACTTTTGAATTTTGTAGTTTTGATTTTTGAACTCCCCTAGAATCCATACCTAGTCCTCTATTAGAATGAAAAATCAGTCTCTCCTCTAGAATGCAGTCGGCCCATTGAAATGAAAAGGCGCCCCTCAGGATGAAGGTCACCCCCGTAAAAACTCGTAGGTATGATAACAATATATACAGACTTTACTCTGTCATCTGTGGGGTGGTGTTAAAGATGAAGTAGTCACAACTTCCCTTCAGAGGGAAAGTCACCCCCCTTATTAAAAAATGTATGTCAACATTATACAGACCTTACTCTGCCATCGTCATTCATCTGTGGGGGTGGCGAAGATGTAGTGCTCACAGAGGATCTTCTTGCACCTTTTCCACTAGTCGATAGTCGGTCACGTTTTGATTTTGCGCCACTTTCTCGTTCCTCCTTTTCACGACTTGTTTTAGAGCCACCTTTGTGACGAACACAGTTATCCTAAACGTTGCATGAATAAATTGAGCACGTAAATGATAGGAGCATGAGTAGAGCGGGCGTCAAATGTTTTTCTCTAAGATTTTACACGGTAGTAAAATTGAAGCCTTGAGAATCGTTTGGAAAAGTTCGAACGTAACTTTTTATGGACAGAAAGTAAGTTTTTACATAAATTTTTAACTCGTTAATAGTGCCAGTTTCGCTCGATATTTTTACTTACTCTCGTTTTCGGTGAAAAACGACCACCGGGTTTCAGTGGCGCTTTCAGTGAAAAATTTTCAAATGCAATAATAAATTTAGTTAGCTATGATTTCCAACGTATCAGAGAAAAAAGTTCTTAAGTTATTGAAATCGTTCCATTTTCATGACTATTTAAAGTTGGTAAAAATTTTCCTTTTAATGGACATTGTCCGTCGTCTGAAATCTCTAAACGACTTACTTATGTGACGTCATTAAAAGATTCATTAATACAAGATATATATGCCCACTATCTTGGATGACGTAAGAATTTGGCTAACCTCATACCCTATGCCACAACGCACAAGGTCAATTGAAAGGCAACTTTAAGCTACCATGACAAGAAGACAATTTGGCCAAATTGAAAATTTTTTTACCAATATGTAAGACATTACACCTGGTTTTGACGTTGTAAATAAACGACTTTACTGCTTTGTGGAACGCATATAACAAAGTTACATTGGAAATCGTAAGGAAGAATGGATTATAACCTACAGCCGACACAATGCTAACAAACGAAGGTGAAATCATAGATATTATAAATAACACCAAAGGTGGCATCGTAATATAATCTGTAGTTAAAAATATGGTACGCGTTTTTGGGGGTAAAATTCATTCCCGGATGTTAAGCTACGGTGGAAAACTACGATTTTTTGACTTTTTTGTACATATTACGTGTAAAGTAAATACTATAGTGAATACTATCAGAATCTACTTGATGAACTATTCCTGCGTTTTTATTGTAATTTTAAATGGTTTAAGCCACTCGTAATTTACAAAACATGTTTGTGTTGCTTTTATACTTCAACTGCTAACAGCTTCAAAAAAACATATATTTGTCATCCATACCGGAATTAAAAAAGGTTAAACTATGTGAATATGTAGGTTGTAAAAACAGAAAAACAGAAAAGAATAACATAAGTTTTCATTGCGTACAGTTTAATTAAAACATACAAAGCATACGGAGACTATAAACAATATAAAATAAAAATAACAGCTCGCTAAAAAATTTCTAAGGCTTTAAAATGACAAATTTTCTTGATGCTCGTACAAAAGAGCAAAAAACTTACTAAATATATTAAAAAAGAATCCAAAACTCGAAGCAGACGGCAAAAACATTTGTTTACTTCGTGTTTTAATCCGGGACTTAAATTTCCCCCCTCCCCAATTCACGCGTTTCAAAAAACGTCATCATTGCTACCTCTAGTATTATTTATAATCTCTATGAGTGAAATAACATAAGCGATTAACACATAAAACATGATTACTATGTAGAAAATACAATGTTTGCTTTTTAAGAGTCTTGCTCTCATCCTCGTATTTGTTATGGTGAATGACAATTGAGTATTTATTAAAAGAACTGCTGAAAATAGAAGTAAAGACAGCTGTAATATTAACATCGGTGTAGTTTAACTGGCTGTATTCTCATCAGGTGCAACGTTTGTTTTGATGAAAACTAAAAATTTACTTCCAATTTAAAATGAAAACAAGAAAGAAAGACATCACCACCAAACATGGTAGTTATATGATCCTTTTGACCGCAAGGCAATTTTGTCTTGCTAGGTAAATTTTTTATCATTGACCTTATTCATTTCTTAAAAATTTATTATTACAACGAGTGAACACCGAAATATTTACAAGGCATGAACAAACTTTTAGGCTGGCTACGCCACTGGATACAGGAGGTACGTAAATTTGGTCTTGCTGTGTAAATATTTCGGTGTTCACGGCGGAGGACAGGATTAGTTCACAACAGAGGACGAAATTAGTCATCTTAATTAATACAGACTGAATAACGCCAACTCCGACGAAAGGATTACGTGTTTAATTCTTGCTTCATCTCTCAATTTAGAGATGAAGTTAACTTTTTCCTGACATTAAAAATATAGCATGATTTCGAAGTTCCCAATTAGCAGACGTTTACACGTGATGAGTATTCTGCTGAAATGCATATTGTCTTTCGTCTTTAAAAACAGTTCTTTCAGAATTGCTGGGTTAGTGTTCTGGTTTTAAACAGTTCTTTAGAGAACTATTACATACATTATTATTTTCACCATTCACCATGGTATGTATTTCCTCTATTTAAAACAATTCATAAATTTCTCACCACGACAAACTTTCTATTTTACTATTTAAATAATATCAATGATATAAAAACCACGAACAAACCTACGGGATGAATACACCACATTGCACGTACCTTTTCATTCTTATCAAAATCGGACTCGGGCTTCCTCATCTTTTCGTCACCAGATACGTTCACATCATGTGAGCCAGGCGAAACAAACATGTAGTGCAAGGACGTATCAGATGCAAACGGGGAATGTCTTCGCACTGGATAGGGAATGACCGAAAATACAACAGGGGGAGGTATAGGTGGTCCGTCAGGGCCGAGACCTAACCCATTCAAAATCTAAAACAGGAAAGATAAAAGTAAAGATGTCGATTTCGAGGTGCAATACAATTAGCTAGTGAAGATAGCTCCATGCATGCAAACATCTGATTAACACAGCTGGTTTTTTCGCAACTCTTAGTATAGAAAGGAATATTTAAAAATCATTGATCATTATTGGAAGAGGTTGAGCATGATAGCAAGAATTATTCAGACCGAGGTAATATTATCTACCGAAACGAGGCCTGAAAAATTGTTCATATCATGCGAAAGCCGACTTTAATAATTCTTTATTATACAAAGATAAATGTAGAAGCTTTCAAACTATTTCGCACGGAAGTCATAAAGTTTTCCGTGCTCCACCATCGCGATTCGCTTTCGATTTGTTTCTCGTAAATACTAGATGAAAACTCTCATGACTGTAACCCTTTACATGTTTTTTCTTTACGTCTATAATCCGAAAAATTCAACGCTTGCAAATCTCGAAAAAGATTCTGCCGAAATACTTTATGTGTTGTCAGTTGTCACAAGGTGACGTACCTACAGATAATTTTCAATGTTTTGTAGGTGGCAAGGGCAAGACTTCAAGAAACATCTGTGGGCTCTTAGCCTATCACAATCGAGATTGCACCGTCATTGTAAGGTAAATTTTTTTTGGAATGTATTACAATCGAAATATCTCCTTACCTCATCACATGCCGGCATCGTTGTCAACGAAAAAAGTTTATCTTTCTGTGATTCTCCAGGAGCTGAGGTTTCAAAGATAACGTGAGGAACACCAACACCATCTTTGTTTATCGTTTTAGCATCATCTTTGACCGTGAAAATCCCGCTATCGTGTGGCGACGAGATGGTCTGTTCGAACGCGAATTAATACAAGAAAACAAAATTTTTATGAAATTAGGGGTTGAGGCTGTATATTTTTTTCTTGAACAATTTAATCATCCGATTTTGTCTTTATTGGAAAAACATCTTAAGAAGATGGTATTCGAGATGCTCTAATTTGCATTAAGCTGTAGACATTTCTAAATTTATGTCAGCTCGTATCTTCATGCCAAAAAGTCCTTCAATTCCTTTTCACAAGAAACGATGCAGTTTTTCGTCCTGTCCTTACAAACTTATTGCAAAAGAAAAGCATCTAAGTAAAACGAATGAAGGCCAAGTTGATAAAACGTACTAGTCAGTCTAAGAGTATCGATATTATTAAGGCAATTTACTCTTGTGTGTTGGAAAAGAAAGAGTGGAAATGTGCGTAAATCAGGGCGGGAGATACGAATTAAAAAGTGAGTAAATCGGGGGGTGGTACTAATTAAAATGTGAGTAAATCTGGGAGGGGTAGTAATAAAAAATCATCTATTAAATTTTGATTTAATATTTGCAATGGAATAGTGAATTTCTTGATAAGCCTAAAGATGGAAATTTGGTAAAATTACTGTCACCTCTTTTATCGTTTTATCTTTATCGCCTTTTTTCTCTCTCATTTTTTTGTTCGATCCAGTCTGAGCGATCTCAGGCTCATTTTCAGAGCGAGGTGTCTCTACGCGTACGACCGTACCGGTGGAACGGTCCCAGTTCTCCAACAGCAAGGAGATGTCACGCATTGAACTCTCAAATTTTTGAAATCTAAACAGGACACAAGCAGGAAATTTACAAATTGCCCAACAGATTCGGAGAAGATAAACCAAAAAATAAGTTGGTTTGAAATGCAAAATAGTTGAATGTGATTCGTTTATTTGCACTCACATGATATAAAATGAATGCAATGTTTCCCGCCGTGAAAACAAGTGAAAAATTGCTGCGCGCTCATTTTGATATCATAACAAATAAAACAGCTATGGAGCCAAAACAGAAAAAACTTTTCGAGCCTATTAAGGGACGAAATTTGACAATGAATTTATAAAATTATTCAGAAAACACTTTGAAGTTGACTGAAAATACCGTGGTTACCCATTTAGCATTTTGCAACGAAATTCGCAAGACGAATCTCCCCGGAAGACGTTGATTTTACTCGACTTTGTCTTGGGAAATATCGAGACTCTTGGAAAACAAAATAATGATATGAAATGTTACAAAATATTAATATGATGTTTTCTGATGATGGCTTTGGAATAAACTTGGAAAAATCACTATTTCCCTCGAGCATACATTGAGGTAATAACAAATAGTCCGTTTTATATATCGTAATACTGCGAGTTACTCGAACCTTAATTACGTGTTGTTACAAAAATATTGCGCGTTGTGAAAAAAATTATGGTCTACATACACATGGAAATAAACGAGTTTTGACAATAGCACTAAACGATAAGATAACGAGAAGAACCGTCCGCCATACTAAAGTGAAAAGTGCCCTCGCTAAAGTTTTGAACGTCAGATATAAATCATCTGATCTCTCGATATTGTCACGAGAAAATCGTATCATGCGTTGAATATCAAATTTCGTCTGTTTGTGGGAAAAGCAATACAATATTAGACATAAAATGAATATAAAGGAAGCGACAATTCTTCCTTTCCTTTTACTTATCTTTCTCTGCAATTATGTCTTTGCATCAACGGAAAGTTGTAACTTCCGACAGATTGCAGTTTGGTTTTCCAGTATGTCATGAAAAGTTATGCAGAAAACTTTGCTACGACAGCACTACCGATTGTTACAATGGAAAAATGTTAACAGTCTTATGACATATATATTTGCATGGATAAATGCGAAGGAAAACAAATAGATACAAGAGATGGTTCTGAATCTGAAGATGACGCAAACAAAACAGTGTGGATTTTCATAATGGTAATGATATTTGGAGCAGTAATAATAGGATCCTGTATGATCTGGGGATGTTGGACAAAATATGAACGTCTTGTTCAAAATGAAAGAAGTGCACCTTTCCTGCCGCCAAGTTACTCAGATCCACCAGCATATACTCCGTAGACATACGAAAAAAAATAGTGATTTATCCATGCGAACGCAGATGTTGGTTAATGCTACAAATATATATCATAGAAAACAGACTTCTTGTTGCAGAGACGCTTAATGTATATACGATGTAGAACATTAGGTATATTATGTTAGAGTGTTTCAATGCATACAGAACTGCTTGCATCACGTATATTCAGCTAATATATATAGTTCAAAAGGAACGTTTATTACAATAAAGTTCATTTCGTGTATTCTTGCATAATGGATGCATTTGAAACAAGACGCCATTTCACGTGTATGGTGGCCCATCGCTTTCATTACGATTTTCCGTCTTTCAATATTATTGTCAGTTGTATTTTCATTTCAAAAACAAATTTCACATGAAACTTTACTTTACAATGTAAATTTAAATTTGATTTTATTATTTAAATATGTATTTTATTTATTTTCATTCTAAAGCGTAAATGAAATTTAAAAGCACTTTCCTACGCGTGGCCCAGCGCTATCACCACTGATCTGATAATAGTCTGGATATAGTTTCTACAGTTGGCAAATAAGTGAAGCCTAATTATATATGCAAAATCCATTTCCGTTACAAAGAAATGTCAAACTTTGTTTTGAGTATTTAAGGCATTTCACGAAGCTTTTACTGATCTCAAATATCCGTAATGGATAAAACAAGTTTTGTAAAACAATTTGACATCGAGATGATCTCTATAGCTGTATAATATCGGCGTTCGTGCTCATTTGAAAATTTTCTGTGCAAGAATACTAAGAATAGGCCCCATTGTTGCCAAGGCAAGTTTATTCACAGTTCGCTTTCCAAGTTGAGAATCAGTTATGATCTAGAATAAGTTTCAATGCTAGCAAAATGCGGTAAGTATCTTTATTTTATCATTCTTTATGCTCTAGAGATTGCTGTATGTTTTTTTTGCTGTGACTTTATGAGCCAGTGAGCTAGGTACTATTGATGTAGAAATAAGACAAATCCACAAAGCTTTTTTCCTTATTTTTTTGTGAGTTTTTATTTTATAAAGATAATTTAATCACCACGCTTTGCTATAACAATTAAATATAGCCTTCATCAATGAGTAAGTATGGTTGTTATTGACAAAAGTATCTAACATATTAATCAATTGCAGTCTATGCAACTAATACTGGAGTACTACTACTGCAGTAAAGGAATATGATTGCAACTCCATAAATGGCTCATTATACTGCCTCCACAGACGAAAAACGCAAGGGCCTGGTTAGTTTTGTTTAAGGAATAGAAACTTATTGATATAAATGTGCGAGTCAACTAAAACAATATATTGAAATCAAATTATATGCAAAGAAGATTCAGTGTTTGAGGTATTTTGTCAAAAGAACCAAAAGAGAACTTTTTATTGAGAAGAAATTTTGTGATAGGTCTGCAATAGACCTTCTCGAGAACGAATAACGGATTAACAAAATTTCTCGTTAATGAAAATTTGCGATAGATAATCGCACTTACTTTTTGACGAGTTCTTTATCCTTTTCATCCTCTTCGGAAAGTTTATCATCTACAGCTATAACTGGAGGTGGTCGACTACCCATGGGAGACGCTTGTCGCTTCGATAGCTTAATAACGCTACATCTTTTACGCTCTTCACCTATATGCACATAAATAAATGAAATGTGAATTAAAAACATGGCGATTAACGACCGTCAATTACATGGGTCGAGTCGTCGCGGCCAGCTAAGATGAGACTATTTTGACGATGACACGGCCTCTTTGATAAATACATATAAAAACAGCATTGTGCATACATGTAAACGAGTCACTCGGTTTGCCGGGAAATAGGTAGTAGACAGCAGGGACAACTATGAAGTTTGGAATGAAAATTGTGCCACTTGCTAATGAAATCCCTTTTCACAAGTTGTCTCAGCTAGGTGAGCTGAATCACTAGTGCATGAGCATCGCATTTGGTTTAAAATTGCATAAAGGCGTAAAGCTAATAATTCCATCGGAAAATTGCATGGCGGGAAACTAAGTCCATGTATAATGGCTAGAAAAAACTTATCTCAGTCATCCGAGACAACTCGCCTCGCTGGAGCAACTCGGTATATGAACTCAGCAAAAACTTTTATCAGAACTAAGTGTAATATCAGACGTATCGGGGAAAAATTTTTTAATATGGTCGAATCTTCCTATTCATATGGTGGTTTAAAGTTGCTTTTCAATAGACCTTGTCCGTCGTGGCATGAAGTCTGGATCTAGCCAAATTCAGAAGTCATCTAGGTTGGTGCATGTATCTTGTATCGAGGAATCACTTGTATGTCTTTACAAAAGTAAGTCGTTCCAGACTTTTTGATTGATGGACAAGATCCGCTCAAAGGAGAATTTTTGACAACTTTAAAATGTCATAAAAATGAAACAATTTGACAAACTTAAAAACTTTTTCACTGATACGTTGGAAATCACATCTAAATTTAATAGCGCATTTAAAAATTTCGGCTGAAAGGAGCACTTCAACAAATAAATTACATTTAACCGTTGTCTGTTCAATTATAGATACACGAAAGTGACGTCATTTCTGGTAAGAACTAAAAACGTGGCAAAGAGCCCGGCAAGTGATCACTGTTTGTTCTTATTACAATTTAGGAGGTGTTTACATGAGTCCGGAATGACTTTCGATCCGGAACAAACTCATTCCATTTCAAAAAAAATTCTATTGTATGTTTACATGAATCCGGAATGAGTCACAACTCGATCGGGATCGAGTTCATTCCTATTTACATTCCGGATCAAAATTTAGTTTTAATCTCGTGTAAACGCGAATCGAGTTTCAATCTGGAATGAGATTGTGATTAATGACGAAGCACGCATGCGCCATGTGTAGTGTCTTCTGGGAAATTGAAGCTCGTAAGCAAATAAGGCGGCTAAATGGACTAAAATGAGTGTGAAGAAAAACAACAATTAGTTTCTTGCAAGTGTTAAGCTGTATTAACGCAGGAGCAACAGAAAAAAAGGGTTGCTATAATGTTTATAATCGCCATCTTCAAATTTCAAAATTTCCGCAAAATGTCAATCCTTGTGTTGATTTCCCATGTAAAGACGGACTGAAATCACGTTTCGATCGGGATTGAAAGTCATTCCGGATTCATGCAAACACCCCCTTATTTTAGGCTAATAAACATTGATTTCATACGTAGTCCATCACTAAACGCCAAGTTGACATCTGATAGAAGCATTTGAAACTTAGCCTGTAATATGAAGTTCTATTTAATAACCAAAATCAGATCTTCCGAATTGAGATTCTGGTATTGCTCTTGTAACAAAATGGCGATATTTCCATTAAAAAATAATAGCTAAGAATTGGGGGCCACTGGCGATTGCCTCTAACGCCCCACCCCTCGAACTGCCGGGATAAAATTAACATTCGTAAATCAACGACATGACCATTCCTCGACTGACCTTGAGCTTCAAGACTGTCTGATCTCTCTGAGATTACGGAAGGTGCTGTAGTTATTCTTGCTACAGAATGATCGTGGATTCCGGCTACGCTGCGATTGCTTGAGAGCCTATCGGATAACTTATCTCGTTTTCTCTCGTTTTCCTTTGAGTCCTGTCCTTTACGTCCTTGCGAAGATTGTTGAACTGTTTTCCGGCGTCCTTTCCTATCCCTAAAACAAACTCCAGTAGTTCGTAACTAAATATATCTAATTATAAAATAAACATAGTATAATGCATGTGCTGTGGGTCAATTGCAGTGTTTGCAATGAGCCAGTGCAAAATAGATCTAAACTCAACCAATAAAAAAAAATTAATTAATTAATCAATCAAAGAGAATTTGCAAATCATTACTGAACACATTTCAAAAGAAAAATTAAAACGTTTGTTTTAAATATTAAAATACAATATCAAAATGTCAATACAATACCGTTCCTCCTCGAGTCGTTTTTCTTCCTGCAAAGCCAACTGTTCGCGCTCCTTTCTTTCCCGTTCTAACTTTTCTTCCACTTCTTTCTTCATTCTCTCTTTCTTTTGATTCAACCGTTTTCGATCTACCTCATATTTCTTCTCTTCGCTCAAAGCATCGTATTCGTCTTCCGACATTTCTTCCAGCCATTTTTTCTCACTCTCAAAATGCTCTCTTTCCTTTTTAACTAAAATCATGCGACAAGCGTGAGAATACATGCAAAGCTTGAGAGAAACTCCACAAGCATGGCACTAGAAATATTTTTGATATCACAGAAAATAGAAAGAAAAAACACCGTGTAAACATAACATACACATGTATTCCTTTCATTAAATTTGTAAACTAAAAAATAAACAGAATACATTTTCAAAATTGGAGGGTGGTTGAGATATTTCTTAGAAGTAAATCTGTTATCGGGGGGGGGACCACCTGCGCCACCCCGTCCCCTCTAGAAAATCCATTCATATAATGAAGTAGCAAAGACACAGCAACAAAAATATCAGCAAGTAACTAGCACGATTTAAGCACCTGCAAAGCTGCAATAGCCAATGTTGCGAACGAGAGGCTGCGATTCTTGTGCCTCACACTGTGTAATGCTTCGAGGAAACATATAATTTTGCAGGAAATTGTTGGCAAAATAAAAGCCTGCTAACATGAAAAAATATTTCCTAGAGGCATAGCTACATGCATGACTCAAAAAACTTCAAATGATAAATCGTTGTCCTTTGCTCGCTATGCCTGTTTTTTATTTATACATTTCAAAACAAAAAAAAAAGCGGGAAATTTCGGTGCGGACAATAAATGACAATGGTAAAAAAGTCAACTATCCCACTAAATGCATGAACCAAATCAGTACTTACGGATTTCCTCCTTTTTGCGTTCATCGATGGCTTTGAGTTTCGCATACTCCAGCGTCAAAGTTACAAAGAAGATGTATTTCCTGTTGTTTAATGCACGCAGTACACAACACGCCGTGCTGTGCATATTCCGCGTAAATATACTCTCCAAACCATCGATGACGATACCAAGATGACAATCACTTGTCTAAAAAATAAAATACAGAGCTATAGAGCACGTAAAATATTGCAATTAGTACATGTAAATTGTTGCAATTGGCGAAAGTAAAATGTTGCAAATACAGCACGTAATGCTGCAATTAGTGCACGTTAAATGTTGCAATTAGATGACGCAAAATGCTGCAATTGAAATGTTTAAAATTTGGCACACAAATCAGCACAGGGCGGAATCGACTTTTTTCTCGCATTCGCATATGTGGAAAAATCCACGCCATATTTACGACATTTCTACGAAGTCATAGACGATACGTCGTGTTTGCTAAATTTCTCAAACATTTGACCGCAGTCCGGAATCATATGGCTAAATCTTCAAGTGATTGTTTTTGTTTTCACTTTTTCCAAAGTACTAGAAACATATGAGCAAAGTTTTGAGTTGTCCTTTTGCCGATGTTGTTGAATATGCCAAACAGCACAATTTAAAAAGACAGTACATAAATGAGTACAGCATCATAAAAAATTTGCATTATTCTATCCTTACGAACATAACTACACCACGCGTTAACGATCATGATATTTTTGTAGTAAATTGTTCAGCGCACGTTTCGCAAATGAAGTATAGAAATCTTAGTGTCAAATCCTTGTAGAACTCATGACGACGGAAGTAGGTAAAAATCGAACACACGTATTTTTACAGAATAGATCTACATGAGCACATTGTCAATGCAACTGCGTCGACCTGATACATAAAAGATACTATTACAATGTTCGTTTAACTAAGACATGTGACAAAGTTGACGAATCAATTTATTGTTTATCACAAAAATCATTTTAAAGCGCTATTACTTCAGGGTTTTTAGACATGCAAGCATCTTAGGAAATCACGCAAAAGTTATTATTATTGATCAAAATCATTCAGTATGAGCGAATACTTATATAATGCAGTAATCTAACTAAAGAATTCAGTACAAAAAAATAATATTAGTTATAGTGAGCATGGAGATTACATATGTAATAATTATCACGTGACTGAAACTGAACTATATTTATGAATACGAATTAACTCGATATCAACTTTAAGTCGATATCAACTTCTTCCTTTCCATCATATACGATTCCGTAATCAATTGTTCCTTTGACGTATCGCAATATACGTTTTGCAGCTATCCAGTGTTCTTTTCCTGGTTTTGAACAAAATTGATTTACCATTCCCAATGCATGTGCAAGATCAGGTCTTGTTCCAATTACTGCATGTGTCAATCCTCCAATCAATGCTTGATACTTTCAACTGGTACTCCTTCGTTAGAGAGTAGCTTTGTTCCTTGATCAATAGGTGTTGCAGCCGGTTTACACTGATCCATACACAACTTTGCCAACAAATTCGTAAGATATTTTGATTGACGTAACTTCATTCGTTTTCTTTTTCTGTCTCGTTCAACTTGAAATCCAAGACAATAACTTATTTCTCCAAGATCCTTCATTTCAAAATGTTTCCTTAATGCTTCTTTTCTCATTGCATCATTTTTAAATTATTACTAGCTGGAATTATGTCGTCAACATATAAAGACATAATCATAATATCATATCCTTCTCGCTTTATATACAAACATGGGTCTGATTTTGATTGTAGATAGCCTGAACCTTTAAAAAATTGATCGATAGTGATGTACCAACATAATGATGACTGCTTCAGTCCAAAAATAATCTTGGTCAATCTACAGACAAGCTTTTCGTCTCCTTTTTGAACGTATCGTTCGGACTGGGGCATAAAAATTTCTTCTTCCAACTTACCGTTCAAAAAGGCTGTAGAAACGTCCATTCGATGCATTAACAAATTAAGCTGGTTTGCAAACGCCAACAAAGAACGAATTGATTTGTACTGTTCGCAACAAGAGAAAATGTTCCTTCGTAATCCAAACATGGTTCCTGAGAAAAACCTTTTGCGACCAGACGAGCTTTATGTCCATCCACGTTGTATTTTACTGTAAACACCCAACAATTTATAGCTTTTCCACTTTCAGGAAGATAAACTAATGTCCATGTTTCGTTCTTGATATGAGCTGCATATCCACCATCCATTGCATATTTCCGATGCTACTTATCAGAACCAATTAGAGCTTCATCTACGGTTGTAGGTTCTGTTAAACTTGGTTCTTCATTTATGGTTGCTGTGTTACTTTCGCGCAAATTTCCAGTAATCACTGTTCCATATCTTTCTGGTGGTTTTCGTTGACGAGATGAGCGTCGTGGTTGTTCTTCCATTTCTGTTTCTTGCAAAATGTTTGACTGATTCATATCTTGATTACGATCTATTGTGGAGTCATCTTCATGACTCGGTGAAGATAAAGAAAGATTGGTCGTCACAAATTATTCTTCTTTAAAAGATCTTGAATTCAATTCATTAAGATCAACAATTTCTTTCATGGTTAAAAAGTCTATATCTTTTGCTTGAAAGACTGTAACCAATAAATATATATCTTTTTGTTTCCGAATCCCATTTCTTTCTATTTTCCTTTGATTCCTGCATGTAGGCAGTGTATCCAAATACTTTAAAGTGCGACACATCTGGTTTCATTCTATAGAAGCTTTCATAAGGTGTCATTTTATGAACAGCTGCTGTAGGACTTCCATTTCTAATGACAACTGATATGCATACAGCTTCAGCCCAAAACCTTTTATCAAGATTTGCATTACACATCATGGACCTAGCCGTTTCTTGTATATTTCGGTTCATCCTTTCGAATACACCATTCTGTTCAGGTGTTCTAGGTACGCTTAATTGATGTTGAATTCCTTTTTCTTTAAGATAGGTCATGAACTTATTGGATTTATACTCACCACCATTATCTGATCTAAGGATTTTGATCTTCTTCTCCGTGAAATTTGTAACCATAGCTTCATATTTCTTAAATTTGTCTAATAGTTCATTTTTTCTTTTTATAAAGTAGACAGCTAAGAATCTGGACTTTTCATCATTAAAAGTAACAAAGTAAAGACTACCACCATTGCTGTTATCTTGCATGGGCCTACAAACATCACTATGAATAATCTCAACAATTTCCTCTGCTCGAGTGGCATGTCCTTTGGGAAATGAAACTCGATTCTGCTTGCCCTAAGCACAACTTTCACAAAACTTAGGTTCTTTTGTAGACTCGAAATCTAAGCCAGTAACCAACTTGTGAGTTCGCAATAATTGCAAATTCTTATGGATCATATTTTAGATGATCCTTTTTAACCACGTTGATATCATGAAATTTATCATTTTTTAGACTTGCATCAAGTATGTATAAACTATTTCGCAGCTTACCAGATCCCACCACATTAAACAATTTGTCAGAGATAACACATCCATGAAGCTCAATTGAATATCCTCGCTTTGTCGTGGCACTCATTGAAAATAGATTCTTCGCTAGGTCTGGAACACGTAAGACATCCATCAATCTTACAGGTTCATATTTCTTACCAACTTTATGTCAATCGCCAAATATTTCTTTTTCCAAATGCTTCGACAACTCGATTATCTCCAAGACGTACCTCTTGTTGGGCAGCAAAATGAACATAATCAACCATAATTTTCTTTTCATATGACATGTGTCGAGAAGCCTCTGAGTCTATGTATCATTCGACATCTTTATGATTTACAGATTACGATGACCAAAGCAATGCGTGTTCAACAGATGCATTAAATAATGTACCTTCTTTTCTTTCCTCGGAGTCTCTTGACCTGTTTTTCTTGAGTTTATCGCAATTTCTTGCCCAATGTCCAAGAATTCCAAAATTGTAACATTTTTCTTTTTTCTTGTATTTTCCTTTTCCTTTATTGTTTCTCTCATTTTTCGACAACAAAGCATTATTTGCAATATCTAAATGTGATAAATTTTCTTTACGTTCGGATTCTTCATGCAACAACCTTCCTACTACAAACTCTAAAGCAGTAATCAAGTTACTGTAGGATTCAGGGAGGATACATAAGAGCGCTGCAACCTGATCATCCTCTGTCAGAGGTGCACCCAGTGCTTCCAGAAGACTTGTCAAAGCTTTCGTTTTGTTAATATGCTCAGTCATAGATTCATCAATCCCCATAGTCGGTGTGAAATATTTCTTTCGTAGAAACAGTTTGTTTGCCATAGACTTAACTTCATAGTGGTCTTTCAGTTTTCCCCATGCATCCTTCGCTGTATTAGCCGATCAAACTATTGACAATTGTTCGTCCTTTAAAGATAAACAAATTGTAGAGAGCTTTTCTTTCTCGTCTTTGAAACTGTTTGCGTTGACTTTCAGTAGAATCTTCAACACAAGGCTCAACCTCGAAGCCATTAACAATATCCCAAAGATCTTTATCTTCTAGGATCATTTGTAACTCAAATTTCTGAATATAAAAGTTCTCTCCATTAAATTTTTTAATTCGATGCAACGTTGCATGTTCGTCACTACCTGACAGCAATGTCAAAACTCCTCGAAAATTCGGCTGATTTTTCGATAAATTACGCTCAACAGTCTTCATATGCTGGGCCCATAACCAGCGATGTATTGCCACCGCTAATTAGGAAAGCTCTTACTCATATAAGCATGATATGCTGAATTAATATCTTTTGAAATGTATTGTTATCTACGGATTTATAACATGCATATATGAATTAGAGCCCCCCCCCCCAAATTAGTGATAATAATACATCCCTGCCCATAACCTATTAATAATGATCAAAATCACTACGTATGAGCGAATATATATTTAATGTAGTGATATAACTAAAGGAATTCAGTACAAAAAATAATAATAGTAGCTATAGTAGTGAGCATAGAGATTATATATGTAAATAATCATCACGTGACTGAAACTGAACTATATTCATGAATACGAACTAATATTCTATTTTTCGTAAAGTGATGTAATACGATCTTTATCAAAGGTGTCCAAAGTTTTTCTGTGAGATAAACTATTAGTCGACAAGAAGAGCATTCAGCCATTTACAAAATGATGCTCACTACTATTTCAGGGTGTATTATTATCGGGGGTATTTTTACACTCACATTCAAGGAAATCACACAATTAAATTTTTTTAAGTATTTCCATGAGATGAGCAACTAGACAATGGAAAAATCATCTCGCTGCAGTTTTGAAAGTCAGATATTAATCATCTGATTCCTCGACATTATCACAAGAAAACCATATTATGCGATGAATATCAAATTTCGTCTGTTTGCAGAAAAAAGCAACGTAATATATTAAAAATATAAATGCAAATGAAGAAAGCGACAATTCTTTCCGTATTTTTAGTTATGTTTCTCCACAGTTGTGTTTGTATATCAACAAAAAAGTGTAAATACTTATCAGATTGCGATTGGAGTTATTCATTTTGCTATGAAGGGTCATGCCGAAAGCTTTGCTACGATGGCTTTCTCAAATGTGACAGTGGGATGAAATGTTGCGAAATTCTATCTTTCACGACTTACTCAAAACTGTGCATGAATAAATGCGAAATACGTCAAACAGATTCAATAGATTCTGTTTCACACACATTATTTTGTTTCAAACTCTTGTAATATCTTGAATATCAAGAAAACGAGATGTCCCTCTTCGGAATTTGTTTTATTTTGTATTATTTGAAATTGTCTGCTTGTCCTGGTTTTCAGTAATAGTGTTGAGGAAGAATTACATTTTGTCACTCCAGTCACTATATTGTAAAAATTACAATGCAAGTGCCAAATGCATTCCGATACAGCTAAGTCGATTTCGCGACATACGCAAGCCGAAACCTCTGCGCGTGCCGCTCCAGAGCAGGAATAAAAATAAAAGATGTTCATTACGATTGCATAGGCTAATGCAAGGTCGAGAATTAGCACCTGCCCAAGAGTTGTCACAAACGTCACCGAGGTTTGTCTTAACCAGTGCAAACAGAAATATTTATCAACATTATTGCGAAAAAAACGTTTCAATTTTTTGAACGAGAGATTCTCGCCACAATAGCATTTTACTGGATGGCACCGTGTTTCGACTTTATTCCAAAGCCATCATAAATATTCTCTGATGATGGCTTTGGAATAAAGTCGAAACACGGTGCCATCCAGTAAACTGCTATATTGGCGAGAATCTCTCGTCCATATACAGTTTAAAAGAGATTTGACTCGTCTCCAATCCCAGTGGGCTTGGTAGCTCAACAGGTAGAGCGGCGGACTAGTATCCCGAAGGTGGGAGTTAAAATCTCGTCCAAGTCACATGTTTTTCATTTGCATAGTAGAACCGTGTTAGGATTAATATATTATATATGTTCTCTGATGATGGCTTTGGAATAATGTATTCATGTATGAATAGCAAATTCTCTTTGATTAATTAAGTTGAATGAGCCTAGATCGGTTCACCCAGGCTAATGCGATTGGAAATTCAGCTAAAGACTAATCAGCGAACGCGACGAATTATTGTAAAGTAATAACAAGTGATAAAGTATGAGATCAGTTTAATGTTCACATCTGATGTTTAATCGTTAATTAGGAGTGGCTGATATTCATATATGCATGCGATAATCCGCACATATCAATTTCAAAATAATTTCATACGGCACAAGATGAATTTATGATTATGTGTGATTATGTGCCCCTCCTCCCTCCATTGCCATTAACGAGTTTACTACGCTACAGTTGATGTTTGTAAGAATTTTTATGTTATCTGATGTTTATGTGCTTACGTTGATAATTATATCTATTGTTTATGTGTTCACGTTGATGTTTATACCTATTGTTTATGTGTTTATATTGATGTTTATTTTTACTGTTTATGAGATTACATTGATGTTTATATCTACTGTTTACTTGCTTGCATTGATGTTTATATCTATTGTTTATGAGTTTACCATTATGTTTCCACCTATTGTCTATATGTTTACATTGATTGCTTAAAACTATTGTTTATGTGATCATGTTGATGTTTATATCTATTGTTTATGTGTTTACGTTGATTGTTCATATCAATTGTTTATGAGTTTATGCTGTTATTTATATCTGCTGTTTATTTGTTTACGTTCGTTCCTGTTGGAAACATGCAAACAATCCAGCACAATCGCCTTAGGGAGAAGAATGCTACATTTCAGTATCGCCTGCTTCAAAAATGTCAAGAAGCAACAATTGTTTACTGTATGCATAAACTTTTTATAATAAGTCCTCGTTATTAAATTATGGAACGAAGTGACGTCTTCCAAATGAAGAAACTTGTTCAAAAACTTACCTGCATTCTTTCAGCTAACAGTTCGACCAGAAGATCATCAGGCAATACACACGAGTACATGCCATCCTCCCCGGCAACACTGGCGCTTACGCTCAATCTACGGGGGGGCTGTTCGACAATTGACGGGCTGGTCGGTGGAGACATCTGTGCTGGCTGCTGATTTTTGGATCCCTGACTTCCTTTCGGTCCGAAGAAGTTGGTTGCACGACGCGATTCTTTAATCGTTGAGTGCATCCCGATTCCGGATGCTGTGCCCTGAAGCCCAGTCGGACCGGAAGTCTGCGCCGTGTGAGCTGCAACCGCTTCGATACTCAGCGCACCAGGTACCGTATTACCTTCTTCTGCTTCCTTTACAGACTTTGCTGATGCGGCACAAAGTTCCCGCGCACGTAAACCTTAAAAATAAATATAAAAATTCCCTTTATGCATAAACAGAAAAAGCAATACTTCAATGGACGATACAATTTCCCCCCACCCAAAAAAACAAACTCACGTTAAAATTGGCATGTAATACCGGAGGTGTCTCGAAAAACTGATACAATGGAAATCATCTCATACGCAGAAAGAATTCAGTTAAATCATAGGCGGACCAAAAAATCACTTAAATAGTTTAAACGAACGATAACTCTCCCCATCCCAACGTAACAGACCGCGCGCGGCAAACTTTACCTAAGGTAGGCGACTATCATCACAGTTATTAACACATTCCTTTATATAAAGTAATGATACAGATAATGATAAAAATTCAAAATAATAATTATATTACTAAAAAGTAGGATAATTTTCCTACATAGCCAATTGCAATTGAGAGTCTTTTTGAAAAAAATGGTGTATGCACCAATATGATGCATGCAGCATGATGACAGAAAAATTTTACAAACAAGTTGAAAAGTCCACGCATATTTTTCGGGATTTTTGTGGTCTTTTTTAAAAGCTAAGTATGAATTCATGTAGGAAAATGATCTTATATTTTAGTAATATAATATTTTTTTGAAATTTATGTTTGTTTTTTACTTTTTATTACTTTATATAAAGGCATGTGTTCATAACTGCGATGATAGTTGCCTACCTTATGTAAATATATAATATAGATACCGTCAATCAATACAAAGTTTGCAGTGCACGGTCTGTTACGTCAGAATGGGAAGAGTTATCGTTCGTTTAAACTATTTGAGTGATTTTATGGGCCGCCTATAGTTAAATGCAATGTGTAGAAACATCAGGATAGAAATAATTCGGATGATTTTTAGTGTAACGTTTTTTAGGCACAACAAGCAGAGTTGAACAATTTAATAAATACAATAGCTCTAATCTTTAGACAACAAGACGTTAATGTGTTGCTCGGAGGATTCTTGTTTGAAATGTTTTAAATGGTCTGCTTTTTAAGGAAGTTATAAACTTAGTGAGATATGCTTATAAACGTTGCTATAATGCTAACTAGTCTTAAAGGGCAAATAAAACGAAAATTTTCCTATTTAAATTGCGCTTTCATAACTCTTAAAATGGAAGCAGTCTCTAACAAAGAGTTTAATCTTATCTATTTTTTATTTTTGGATGTTGAAGTTTTTGTACTGTCTGATTTACACAGCAAAGGCGTCAACGATTGCTAGGAAGTGAATAACGTAAGTGCAAATGGTTTATTGCGTAATGAATCGCTGCAAATTCCCAATGCACAATTTTACATCATAACAGAGACTTCACAAAGACAGAAACTCAGTTCTTTCAAGGGGGACATATTTCCAAAAACTGGGGGATAATTTTTTTTTTTTTGGGGGGGGGGTAGACAAAATTCCAGCGACTCCTTTTAAACTAACATGTAACAAAACATTCAAGATAATTCAACTCCATTATGTAATGTGACGTCATTTGTCGTGTATATTAAAATTTTTGAAATGGTTTGTTCACTGGGAAAGTTATAAACTTACAATGTTCATACAAATTCTTATTTTGCTAACTACCCTTAACTCAAAGGCGTAGCCAGCTCGATAATTAAAGGGGGGGGGGGAGATTCATCTATTTAGCGACGAAGAAAGAACTACCTGCAGTGGTTGAGCCCAACTGTATAGCCTCGGTGACAACGGCATCGACGTTCAATAAAGCAGCATTATAGATCTTTGAAAGATGAATAGCAGTGTTGGTTTTTCCCGATAAAGGAGCGCCGTGAACCACAATGGAGATACCACGTCTGTTTCTTGCGGCTCGACCTTCGGCTGACAGATCGATTCCGATGTAGTTGGCAATCGCAGCAGAAACTGGAGTGATCTCAAGCTCACCTACGTTTGTCTGTTCCGCTTCAAAATCTACGAAAAATATCAAGCAATTAAACGTCAAGTGAATTTATGATCATTAAATATAAAATCAATGAGTAGTCTTGTGTTGAATGTGAATTGTGTTAATGTGTATCTTATATCCTAACATGTGTGATTCCGTTATCCACGAAAGACAACCTACTATCCTAGCATGCGTGATTCTGTTATCCACGAAAGACAACCTAATATCCTAGCATGCGTGATTCTGTTATCCACGAAACACTAACTATCCTAACATGCAGGATTCTGTTATCCACGAAAGACAACCTACTATCCTTACATGTGTGATTCTGTTATCCACAAATCCACAAAAGACAACCTAATATCCTAACATGCGTGATTCTGTTATCCACAAAAGACGACCTACTATCCTTAAATGTGTGATTCTGTTATCCACAAAAGACAACCTAATATCCTAAAATGCGTGATTCTGTTATCCAAAAAAGACAACCTAATATCCTAACATGTGTGATTCTGTTATCCACAAATCCACAAAAGACAACCTAATATCCTAACATGCGTGATTCTGTTATCCACAAAAGACGACCTACTATCCTAACATGCGTGATTCTGCTATCCACGAAAGACAACCTAATATCCTAACATGTGTGATTCCGTTATCCACGAAAGACAACCTACTATCCTAGCATGCGTGATTCTGTTATCCACGAAACACAAACTACTATCCTAACATGCGTGATTTTGTTATCCACGAAAGACAACCTACTATCCTAAATGTGTGATTCTGTTATCCACAAATCCACAAAAGACAACCTAATATCCTAACATGCGTGATTCTGTTATCCACAAAAGACGACCTACTATCCTTAAATGTGTGATTCTGTTATCCACAAATCCACAAGAGACAACCTAATATCCTAACATGCGTGATTCTGTTATCCACAAAAGACAACCTACTATTCTAACATGTGTGATTCTGTTATCCACAAAAGACAACCTAATATCCTAACATGCGGGATTCTGTTTTTGAACATTGAGTTACCTGTTTGTAAATGATGATTTATTAACCTGGACGATCATCATTTACAAACACATAACGATACTCCCGGGTTCAAACCATTTACTTTATTGAGTTACCTATTGCTCCCCAGATGATATCTTCGTCAAAGATAATTTAGAAGAGCGTAAACATAAGATGATATAAAAGCTGGAAAATTGGAGCTGAAACGCTCATGGTTTTCTAGTATTTTAGAAAAAAAACGCCAATAAATGAAAAGTAGCATAGGTTGCTATAAGGGGTACTGAAACGCACATATGAGCATTTTTGAAAAATCTTTCATGTTAATTGTTAACAGCCAAAACTTTAAGCAATGTAAGCTCTGCACATGAAAAATTAGTGTGCAAACATTTGGCGTAAAAATCTTAGATGAAAGCACGGAAGCAACTACGCAGATTGAGTCAAGTCAGGCCATCATAATTACAACATAAGCAACAAAACGTACAACTGTTGGTATACGTTTCTGTCCTAGTACCTAGCACAGTGATTTGCCATTTATGGAGCTTTATTTTTCCAAAGTTTTGCATGCTAACAATCAACATGAACGAAGATTCAAAAATTCTCACATGCACGTCCTTTAAGCCTGTTTGGCTCTCATCGCTATGGCAAGTTTCAAAGAGTTCCGTATTCCCTAATATTCACAATTTCCTTTAAAAACAACAAAAACATTCAATCACTAAAAGAATTTGAAAGCTGAAATCAAAGTCAAAGGCAGAGTTTAACTTAAACAAAAGCATCGTGTCCATAAGCTTTTACTTATATTCCTGCAGTCCGTTTGAGTTTTGTCTAATTCGAACGCTATCGTAAGTTGCCAAGTTCGGCAGTTCTTCAATTAGGAAATAAAAGTTTACTGTATTTACTTGAGTTTTTTTAATATCAAGGACACAAGAATCTTTTGAATTTTTTTCTCGAGTTCATACTTAATCGAATAGACTATCAGACACGGTTATTATTGATAGCGTAGGCAGCCAACAGGTTTTGATCATGATAAAGCGGGGGCTACATGAGCGATTTTTTCGACGCGATTTTTTAAAATTGTCATACCAAGGTGATTGCTACACGTATGACAAATTTTTTTACATTGACGACCATTTTGGCAGTGTTTATTAGTAAACATCAATTTCAAGTTTGCGTCTCATTGCCCAGAAGCAGTTTTTCTCGTGTCCTGCTGTTCAGTTGAGGTGCATGATACACATGATAAAATCGTTCGAATTGTCGAAAAATATTCAACTTATTCAAATTTATAAGTATCAACTTTGACGGTTTTTACTGGATGTCGGATCGCACGTTCCAAGGTGGCTAAACAGAAGATTTTTAACGTTTGTTGATAATTTCAAAAAATCGAGTGACAAAAATCGCTTGTGTTGCAGATTATTAAATCATTTATTTCTTTAGAAATATATTGTTTTTAAAGTGTGTGAATACAGAAAAATTTGCATAGCAAGACTAAAGTCTCAGGATGGCTGTGCGAGTGGTTATTATTTTACATTGTTCGTAGATATAGATCGTCCAGGTTAGTAAAGTCTCGAGAAGGGCTGTTGATGTTGATATTGATTGACGCTTCGACAACCTTAGCGGTAGTCATTTTCACAAGGGTGAAAGTCAGGTTCGCCGAATTTGTTGTCTGGTTCTTACGTCATCATATTTTTATAGAGATGTTGATGTGCGGGTGTCAATTGTGTATGGTGGATTGGTCAAAAGAAGTGTGCTTAGTTGTTGATTGTTTGATGATGTGAATAAGTGCTATTGAAAAAATACAAAAAAAAGATACTTTTATGATAAAGAGAGTATTTACGCAACAATGGCAAACCGTAGCATGTATGGATCATCGCTAACAAATACAAATCAAAACCGTAGAAAAGGCAAAATGGTCAAACCTAAATTTTTTTAAAAATTTAGCAACCGTTGTTAAAATGTTTGTCACAGTGTAAACTCGTGAAAAAATTACCTTTAAAAACTTCGTTACACTCTTGCACTGTTTTTACAGCTTCTTCATTGGCTCCATTTACGTCAAGAGCAGATTGAGAAAGTTCTGAATGAGGTGATGTCTCCATATCCACTAGACTATTCCTCAACTGATCGTCAAAGATTTTTGCGGCAGTTTCAGCTTTCTTCTTATCGTTTTGTTCCTTCATTTTCTCCTGCTCGTAATAATGTCCAGAAATCTCGGATGGAAGTTGATCACCAGCTTTCCTTGGTGGTAAAAGAATGGTGTTGTATTCATCGTACCCCTTCATCGCGCGTAGAATCTACAAAATATAAGTTGACTGTTATGTATAAAGTTCTGAATAAGTATTTAAAAATATTCTAACTATCCAAGGTATGATTGTTTCAATTTAAGACAAGACAACAAAACGCAACACGACATGACGCAATGCAGCACAACGCAACGCAGCACAACAAAGCACAGCACAACACAACATAACACAACACAACATAATACAACAGAACACAACAGAATACAATACAACACAACATAATATAATACAACACAACATAATATAGCACAACACAACATAATACAACACAACATAACACAACACAATACAATACAACACAACAACACAGCACACTACACCATATCACACCACACCTCACTATACTACAACATAGCACACTAGTCCAAAACAGACCACACCACACTGAAACACACCATACCACATCACAACACACCACAACATGCTTCACCACATCACAACATAGCACACCGCAAAACGCCACATCACAAAACACTACACCACTACAAACTACAACACGCACAACACAACACGTCACACCACAGCATACCATAACAAACACAACACACTACACCAAACCACAATACGACACAATACAACACACCGCACCACACCACATCACACCAGACCACACCACACAACAACGTAATATCTACCTTCTCTTCTTCCAAATAGAGCTTATCGAATTCCAGAGAATAAATTTCTACAGGAAACAACGAAGGATTTTTTATGGTCACTTCTTTGTCGTCGCCAAATGAATGAGGAAGAATGGGACCGAACTCAAGAACTGATGATACGAATTCTACTTTAGGTTCGCTGCCTTCGCCATGCACAGAGATGACGTGTTTGTTTGTGCTCTGCGCAATGTCTATCTTCAATTTTTGATTGTAGATGGACTAAACAATCCAACAACATTACGGTTAACAAAAGCAAAGACTTTACAAACAATAAGAGCTTATAAGCACTATTATTATTCACAATGTGAGTATTCTTGGCTGTAATTGGTCAACTACATGCAGATAATTCTCGATATCTGCAATTATGACGTCATACATACAGATAACAGTTTCTACAAATATGGACGCCATTAAAAGCCAGTTTTGAAAAAACTCAAAACAACGATGTTTACCACAGTTTCTAGGAATGATAAGCAGAAGCTTTTGAGCAAAAAAGAAGGGGTAAACACTAAAAAAGCGACGAAGCTGGCTTTGAACATATTTACAGCATATTTAAACGAGAAGAACATGAAAAAAAATTTTGTTTCTGCGACAAATTAGCGAAGGTTTGAAAATGTTTTACCTTTATCAGTTTTAATAATAGTTAGTCACCTTCAGTTAGTTGAGGTGAATAATAAGACAATTATTGAATTCGTTTTTCGCATGATATCAGGTCAATGTTATCAACAACAGCTTCGCTTCGGCGGTTAACATTGACCTCGGTCTGAATAATTCTTGATATCATGCTCAACCTCATCGAATAATTGTTTATTATAAGTGAAGTTGAACATTCCGTTAATGAGAGGTTGGAAAATATTTAACTGATAAACATATGCAGGGACATAAAAGCAGTCATCGGTTACAAGAGGAGTCTGTAATGCCTTCTTCAGAAATAGTTGTAATTTCATCGGCGAAACATTTCAACATACAATTCAGGCGATATTTGCATATTAGTATCAAATTCACATGCGGCTTCTCGTCGCTTATATTTGAAAAATTATGCCCGGGTTATGTTTTTGTGACAAGCTCACTCAACGGCAAGGTTTGATCAAATAATTTTGATCATTTGACGTATAAGAAATTGAAAAAAAATCAAGTGCTATCGCCGATAAACATTCACATATAATTTTTTTGCCGGTGACTGTCATAGTTGTAAAAGTTGGACAAGTTCAACATCTCCCAATTTGTCTGCGATTAAATTAAAACAAATATAACATGGGTTCACATATAATTGTAATTGTAGTAAACCTTCATCGTCGATAGAATTACAACAATTACAACTATATGTGAACTTTCCACTGTATGAAGATCGGAGTGTATAAGCAGTCGACTTTTGAAATAATTGATAACTGCAGTTAACAACATTACACGGTAAAAGCTAAAAATCATTTGTAAGTATGGTATAAAGATATTGGCAAACGTAAAAATCTGCATCTTTTCTCTAGAAATGTTTATTGCAATTGATGCATGTATATTAAGTTAATTAAATTATCGGGCAGGTGTTAGGGGTAGTACCTCTGTACCCTGGGCAGCCGCATGCATTTGTGCATGGCTCAGAGCATTGGCCCTCACCACCTGTCTAGCTCACATATGGCTCCAAGTAGTTGCTTGTGCACGGCAACGGCCATCCCCCGGTAACGTCCTCGGCTGGACGGCGAAACTATGTGAGCGAGCTGCACTCTGGATTCTCCAGGTGTAGGCGGGTGTCATCTCACCCAAGTGCATGAAGACCTTCCGGCAATGAAGGCTGACGACTCTAACATGTTAGCGAGTACCATCTGTGTCATGGTCGAAAAGTCGGCGACAAATCTGACTCACCATTGCCTATGGCGATGGAAGGATGGTCAGACACCCTGACAATACAAAAACAACAACTGTCTAAAAAGCCACAGGCACTATGGAGTCTTGTGACCATCTGACACCTGCTTTCAGCAAACCCCCACTGCCTTGTGGGAAAGGTCTTTGCTAAGACTAAAGGCTAAAGGAAGGTGAACCTCAAACAACTCACTACGGAGATGGGACCCCGTAAAGGCAACCATGTTCAGTCAACGACAACTGGATTGGCAGTCCCTGCAGTGGAGTATTGTTGCCAGCACGTCCTGACTTGTTCTTGCCCGCTGGAGAACAGCAGTGCCCCACCGAGAGAGTGTCCTGGTAATGCAAAAGCCAGTGCCACTTAACATTTTGCATGCAGTTCTATGGAAATGAATAAGGAAGCTAGACATGATACCGGCTCGAACGTCGCCCGGGTTACCAAGGTTCGCGCTGGTCCGCTCCCGCTCCGGCGACCAGTGAGAAGTAAGCTAGGACGCAAGGTGGACCGCAAGGAGGACATCAAGAAACATCTGAGACTCGCAGGATGGAACGTGAGGACGCTGCTTGATCGACCTGGATCTAAACGACCGGAAAGGCAAACAGCGCTAGCAGCAAGGGAGTTGTCAAGGTACAGCATCGACGTGGCAGCACTGAGTGAAACCCGGCTGGCTCTAAGTGGCAGCTTGGTTGACCAAGGATACACCTTTTTCTGGAGTGGAAGAGAGGAGAGGGAGAAAAGAGAGGCTGGAGTTGGTTTTGCTATAAGAAACCAAATCGCCCAGAAGTTGGAACAAGAACCGGTAGCTGTAAGCGACAGAATAATCACTCTACGCCTTCCTCTGCAGGGGACGGTGTGGGCTACTATTGTTAGTGTCTACGCCCCGACCATGACTAACCCTGATGAGATAAAGGAAGATTTCTATCAGAAGTTGAGGGAAACTATCAGAGAAGTGCCCAGCACCGATAAGCTCATTATAGCCGGAGACTTAAATGCCAGAGTTGGAGATGAAGTGGAAAACTGGCCTGGAGTATTGGGACATTATGGCGTGGGCAAGTGCAACACCAATGGAGAACTCCTCCTAGCCTTGTGCTCTGAATATGGTCTGGTGATAACCAACACTGTTTTCAAGCATAAGCACACCCACAAGACGACATGGATGCACCCGAGGTCTAAGCACTGGCACCTCATCGACTACGTGATCACTAGGCAGAGAGACCAGAGGGACATAGTCAACACCAGAGCATTTAGAGGGGCTGATTGCAACACAGATCATAACATGGTGCTGTCCAAAATCGCCTTCTCACTAAGGAAACAAGTCAAGAAAACTGGAGGACAGCACAGGTACAATCTCAACGTGGCCAGACTGAAGTGTGACAGTGTGCGCAAAGACTTTCAGAGAAGTATGACAACATCACTACAGGAGAGCTCAACAGGAGACTCGGATGTTGTAGGGAAGTGGGAGACGTTAAGGGATACAGTATTTAATACAGCAAAAGAAATCCTAGGCAAACCGAAACGCAAGCACCAGGACTGGTTTGACGAAACAGACGAGGAGCTAAACAGACTACTAGAGGAGAGGAACCAGGCAAAAGCAAGACAGCTGACTGTAAACACCAGGTCTACCAGGGCAAACCTTGCATCAGCACGCAGCAAACTACAGAAGTACACCCGACAGAAGAAGTCTCAGTGGTGGGAGACTAAAGCAGAGGAACTGCAGCACGCCGCAGCAGAAAACGACATGAAGTCCTTCTATGGAGGTCTTAGAGAAGTATATGGCCCACAAAGAGAGGTACTGCCCAACTGCTCGCTCTTGATGGAGAGACTGTGTTGACAGACAACAAGAAGATGCTGGAAAGATTTGCTCAGCACTTCGACCAGTTGTTAAATCTGCCTGGAAACGTGGATAGTGCTGCTCTTGCGAGCATCACCCAACGTCCAACAGTCCACGTACTGGATGAGCCCCCAAAGATGGATGAACTTCTGAAGGCGATCGCAGCAACTAAGGAAAGCAAAGCTCCTGGATGTTGTGGGATACCTGCAGAAGTATGGAAGTATGGTGGTACAACACTCAAAGAGAGGTTGCTAGATGTGATCGGAGATATCTGGATAGGAGAGAAGATTCCACAAGATTGGAAGGACGCGAATATAGTCCCTATATTCAAGAAAGGCAGTCGTAAAGAGTGCGGCAACTATCGCGGCATTTTTCTACTCTCAATCGCTGGGAAGGTGATGGCTCGAATACTCCTCAATCGTCTGAACGAAATGATAAGTCCCAGAGTAATTCCTGAGACCCAGAGTGGATTTCGGAGTGGGCGGAGTACCATGGATATGATATTCAGCCTACGACAGGTTCAGGAGAAATGCACTGAACAGAACATGCCCCTCTATGCAGTTTTCATAGACTTTACTAAGGCCTTTGACACTGTCCCTAGAGGCGGCTTGTGGGCAGTACTGAAAAGTTTGGCTGTACTGATAAGATTATCAATCTCGTGAAAGCGTTTCACGAAGGAATGCAAGCTAAAGTCACTCGTGGGAGCGACTGCTCTGAGGGATTCGCTGTCTCAACAGGTGTAAAGCAAGGGTGTGTGCTGGCTCCGACACTGTTCTCATTCTACCTGGCTGCCATGCTGGAGGTTGCCTTCGAGGACACAAGGGAAGGTATCTACATCCAGACTAGACATGATGGGAACCTATTCAACGCCTCACACTTCAAAGCTAAGACACGCACAACACGTCAGCTTGTCAGAGATATGCTTTTTTGCAGACGACTGTGCTCTGGTTGCTCACAGTGCAGCAGAGATGCAGGCATTGGTGGACAAATTTGCACAAGCTGCCGCTATGTTTAGCCTCAAGATAAACATCAAAAAGACTGAGTGCCTCTACCAGCCAGTAAAGCTTCTACTCCCTCCCCCAAAACCCTGTGCAATCACCATTGACGGACAGCCTCTTGTCCAGACCACAGTCTTCAACTACCTGGGTAGTACAATCTCCAGCAATGCTAAGATTGAAAAGGAGCTGAGGAACAGAATGGGAAGGGCGAGTGCAGCGTTCAGTCAACTAAACGATCGGCTATGGCAAAATAAGCATGTCTCGACCAGAGTTAAAGCCAAGGTCTATCAGGCGGTGGTGCTGACAACACTCCTTTATGGAGCAGAGGCATGGACAATCTACAGGCTTCAAGTGAAGAAACTGAGTGCGTATATGATGAGACAACTGCGGGACATTCTGAAGATATCATGGCGGGACAAGATCGCAAATGCTAAGATTCTCCGTCTGACTGACCTGCCACACATGGCTGACATGCTGATTCAAAAGAATTTAAGATGGATTGGTCATGTCCATCGTATGGAGAGATCTCGTTTACCACGCCAGCTATTGTACAGCCAACTAGTAGAAGGGAAACGAAACCAAGGCCGACCTCGACTCAGACTCAAAGATGTCATGAAACGAAATCTAAAGAGGAGAGACATCAACGTGACAACCTGGAAGCAATTGGCTGATAACAGACCGGCCTGGAGAGCTTCAATCCAACCATAGAACAGTCCTCGTCGCTTACGACTGACTGCATGATGATGATGAAATTATCGGGCATGAGAATTTCAGCGTATGCATAATCAATTCATGTGGGTTCCGTCACAGTAGAGAAACAAACAATAGTCTCACTGTATAGAAATTTTTTGTACAGCGCATATCTTATTACGCATGTGATTAGCACAGTGGCAGCCACTAAAGTGCTTTTTTCGGGCAATAGGAGCACTGAGATGGCTAGCCGCAGCCAGTAATCTTATTAAATATACAGCACCAAGTTACACAATGCAGTGAGACTACTGATTGTTTTTATACTGTGGTTCCGTTTTAGGGACACCCGGGGAGATTTCACAAATTAAAACATTTACACAAATCATACCTCTTCAGAAGGCATGAATTTCACTTGAATGTTGATTCTTTGCCCGGGAGCTAATATTCCATATTCTGGCATAAGTTCGAAATGTTTGGGTTTTGGTAGCTCCGCTTTTGTTCTTTTACGCAAATGAAGGGGGGGTGGTTTTTCCACCTAATAAGAAAAAAAAATCGTCGTCTGCTTATATCACGGACATATTACACCATATAACTGATTATTTCACGTGCACCTCACACCATATAACTGATTATTTCACGTGCACATCACACCATATAACTGCTTATTTCACATGCATATCACACCATATAACTACTATGAACTCTCATGCGACTAAAATGCGAAAATAACCAAATCTTTAAAAAAATAATTCCGTGCGTCTCAAGTAACAAAATGTATGTAAAATGTGCGACGAAAATTGACATCAGTTTTTCCTGGGAGTAATTCTAAAACATCAACCTTTTTTTTCTTTCCTCCTAAAGACTCGGACGACCAATGGCAACTAAACAGAAAACACAATGTCGTAAGTGGATAATATAAAACAAATACTCTGGGTGGCCTCATTTAAATTAGGGCATCAAAAAATCAGGACAGGCGTTTATCAATGTTATTGATAAACAATTATTGGATGAGGTTGAGCATGATATCAAGATATATTCATAATTGTTTTATTGTTCACTTTAACTAACTAAAATATTATTAAATCACATCATATAAAAAATTTTTGAAACCTTCGCTAATTTGTTTTTATCAGACGGTTTATTCAAGTTCGTTTCGTTTAAATATGTTGTAAATATGTTCAAAGCCAACTTCTCCGCTTTTTTAGTGTTTTCCACATCCTTTTGTTTAAAAGCTTTCACCTCTTTGTTAGAAACTGTGGCAAACATCGCTGTTGTTTGATTTTTTTTCAAAACTGGCTTTCAATGGCGTCCAATCCATAAATGTAGATAATAAATCAAGAAAATAAATGACGTCTATAATAAATGACGTCTAATAAATGACGTCTTATCTGCAGATAAGACGTCATTCCTATAGATATCGAGAATTATCTGCAGGTAGCTGACAAATCACAGCCGACATTGCCTACATAGTGACTAATAAAGTGATTTAGCAAACACGACGTTTCGTCTAAGACGTCTTTAAAATGGCGTAGCATGCGCCTTTCACTTCCGCTTCAATCTACGACGGAAGTAATTATCCTTAATATTTGCATCTTAACGAGGCTCCCTACAGTTCACTCGAGATTCGGGTGTCTCAGGTAGCCTTCACTTACAACTTTATTTTGATCAAACACACTCAAACTTTGGAAATATGAACTATGCGGGAATATTCAAGAATGCCAGTAAAGTCTTAAAGATGCTTGATTAGAATAACTATTTGTGTTGAGATGGCAACCATGATTTATTTTCTTTTACATTTTTATTGTCTAGTTGTTAAGGAATTGACTGTATCATTTTTTGGTTCGGTGAATTTTTCTGATTTTTTGTTTGACGATTGTTATTCATTCAAGAAGTATTATGTTGAACATTGAAGGAATTTTATAAATAATTTTTTGAGATATTTAAAAATTTCGGCTACACGAAAACTTATATGTAGATTTTGTTCTTTTTGGGTGTGTTATACTATAAGATGTGGTGGCGTCCTTTACACAAATCGCTCGCGAAAATTTGACGATGTCTTAGAAGAAACGTATGCTAAGTTACTCCATTTTGTAAAAGTAACTTCAAACTCCTGACTTCCAGTAATAATTAGCCAACTAGTATTAGATGCCGTAGCTCTGAAGTAGCTATTTGTGATCCCAACTTCCTTTCTACCATCATCATTAACTGCCTTTAACTTGTTGGCTGCGTTCCACGTCCCATGTAGCCAACAAGCATTAAAACTGCTCTGCGTGCGGCTTTGAAGCACAGGAATTAAAATTTTTCGCAACCCTTCCATATAAATTCCACTGTTCAATAGTACCAGTGAGACAGGTGCAAGAAAGATGCCATGGCGAAATGCCATGACGCACCTCTTACTATTGCTTTTAAAGAGATGTAAACTAAATAGCCTAAAGCCGTATCGTCTAGTTTGCCTGCCTCCATTGCCTGGCCACGCTACGTATATTGCTTAGAGATAACATGCATTGCCTAGCGCAACCTACCGTGCAAAATCTACAGACTAAAAATAGCACCTCAATTCGAACACTGAGTAACAACACTTTGCTCTTAACGTAACACATAATGTATGACAACCAAAGAATAGCGTCGATAACATGACATCCATAGTGTAATGCGCGATAGTGTGTCATGACATATCGTAACATAAAATTTCATAGTTAACATAAAGCTAGCCATCACATAGAAACAGATATCAAGATATGGCATACCATTCGTGCCAAAATTATATAATATGATTGCTCACCTGACTTGCTGGTCATTAAATAGCTGTAATGTCATCAGTTTGCACTGTCCACATTGGACGTTACCGAAGTCAAGAATGTTTGTCGATAAACCCAAGTCAGGCATGACAACAATCGCTTTCAATACGATGCCAATTATAGGACCGTTAAAAATCTAAAACGTATACGTTAAGAGGATCAACAGACTGTCACCTACCACCCTAGAGCCGGTGATAAATACAAAATTCAGCTCTTCAGTCTTGTTTAATTGATAAAACAACATTAAACCTTAATTATGTCGCAGGGCTAACAGCACTCACATAAAAGGTGCATTCCAAGCAGTAGAAAGTTTTAGTTTGGCGTTTACGTGAAACCGAAACCTCGACAACCCGCATGCCGTTAAGGTTTGCCGATTTGAAAAAAGAAGATCGAGCTGGCCACTGCAGGTAATCATACTTTGAACAATGTGCGTCAACCAAGATGCATTGCACGCTTTTGTTTTTGTTTACATCGTTATTTTTTGAATGCATTAATGAATCTTTGTTGACACACACTTTAACGTAACATGGGGGAATAAATTGTCGTTCGGTTAGATTAATAGTCATCCTATAAGAAAGCACCAGACTTTTACTAATAAAACTTAACTAAGTAAGCCAAGACTAACACCCGTATACCAATATAAAATCAAGCTGAACGGCAGCTAAATTTAGTACTTTTCCGCACATGAAATCGTTTATTGTTCGACAAAATCGTTTAAGGTAAATGGAAGACAACTTGCTACATAGTTAGAACAATCAACGATGAGTAGTTATCCCTAATTTTTAAAAGAACTAAAGTAGAGCCTGTACTAAGCGGTCACCCTTGGGGATTTCTTGTGTGATCATTTAATACAGGTTGACCGCTTAATACAGGTCTTCACGAAAATCATCAGACGGGCTACATGTAATATTTCACACAACTTAAGTTCGGTATTGTTACTTAACATACATGCTAAATAACAACATTTTATAAAACAATTTTTTTCTAAGTTTGAAGTAAAAATTAAAAATAGTATACATAAAAATGTCACGGCTCAAATTGCACAAAAATAATCAATGTCAAGCGTGTCAAAAGAGAAGGGGGTTATCACTTATAAATTATAACATATATATCCCTTTCTTGGAGATATGTTTTCTTGTCAATGGCTGAAGGACGTAAGAAAAGTTTAAATTGCTGGTGTAATTCGTTCACACAAACAGAAAATATTGTTGACTCTTTTGAGTCATTACGGAAGATAAATACAATATAAAAACATGTATACAGTATAAGTGACATGTTCCAGAAAAAATATTAATTAAATATTTTATTATGGGGTGTATTTACTTAATCTGACAGCTTAATACAGTTTCCAAACAATGAAAAATTACGTTTGGGACATTGGAAAAGGTGACCGCGTCCGCTTAATAGAGGTGACCGTTTAATAAAGGTCACTTTAATAGTATTTATATTATGAATTTTTCGAGACTTTGCCACATGACGGCTTAACACAGGGTGACCGCTTAAAACGGTGCCGCTTAATACAGGTTCTACAGTACTTACATTGATAGCAACGCGGGTTCTTACAGGACCTTGAGGAACATTGGTGGACCTCGGATCAAAGACAATGGTGATGGTGATTGTCTCCGGATCAGGAAATCCAGGCAGGTTCTTGACGCGGTCCATATGGATAGAAAAACCTGAGTTGTACAGTGCTTGCTTATCTGCACTGAAGGATGCCGGGAAATACCCACAATTCGTAGCATGGATCGTGTGTTCCCTTGTGGTGCCGCAAATTACAAAACCAAAATCGAGAACATAATCAAGAAGCTGGGCCCTAGAAGGTAAAATCATCCTCAAAAATGTTGCCATGAAGTTACCAAGACGTCGTGATGATCCAGTCAAA